TGATGTTTGGGACACAACTGCTTGACGTGTGATGTTTGGGACACAACTGTTTGACGGTGATGTTTGGGACACAACTGTTTGACGGTGATGTTTGGGACACAACTATTTGACGGTGATGTTTGGGACACAACTGTTTAACGGTGATGTTTGGGACACAACTGTTTGACGGTGATGTTTGGGACACAACTGTTTGACGGTGATGTTTGGGACACAACTGTTTGACGGTGATGTTTGGGACACAACTGTTTGACTGTGATGTTTGGGACACAACTGTTTGACGGTGATGTTTGGGACACAACTGTTTGACGGTGATGTTTGGGACACAACTATTTGACGATGATGTTTGGGACACAACTGTTTGACGTGTGATGTTTGGGACACAACTGTTTGACGGTGATGTTTGGGACACAACTGTTTGACGGTGATGTTTGGGACACAACTGTTTGACGGTGATGTTTGGGACACAACTGTTTGACTGTGATGTTTGGGACACAACTGTTTGACTGTGATGTTTGGGACACAACTGTTTGACGGTGATGTTTGGGACACAACTGTTTGACAGTAATGTTTGGGACACAAATTTTTGACGGTGATATTTGGGACACAACTATTTGACGGTGATGTTTGGGACACAACTGTTTGACAACTATTTGACGGTGATGTTTGGGACGCAACTGTTTGACTGTGATGTTTGGGACACAACTGTTTCACGGTGATGTTTGGGACACAGCTGTTTGACGGTGATGTTTGGGACACAACTGTTTGACGATGATGTTTGGGACACAACTGTTTGACGGTGATGTTTCGGACACAACTATTTGACGGTGATGTTTGGGACACAACTGTTTGACAACTATTTGACGGTGATGTTTGGGACACAATTGTTTGACGGTGATGTTTGGGACACAACTATTTTACGGTGATGTTTGGGACACAACTATTTGACGATGATGTTTGGGACACAACTGTTTGACGGTGATGTTTGGGACACAACTGTTTGACGATGATGTTTGGGACACAACTATTTGACGATGATGTTTGGGACACAACTGTTTGACTGTGATGTTTGGGACACAATTGTTAGACGATGATGTTTGGGACACAACTATTTGACTGTGATGTTTGGGACACAACTGTTTGACGGTGATGTTTGGGACACAACTGTTTTACGGTGATGTTTGGGACCCAACTATTTGACGATGATGTTTGGGACACAACTGTTTGACGATGATGTTTGGGACACAACTGTTTTACGGTGATGTTTGGGACACAACTATTTGACGATGATGTTTGGGACACAACTGTTTGACGGTGATGTTTGGGACACAACTGTTTGACGATGATGTTTGGGACACAACTGTTTGACGGTGATGTTTGGGACACAACTATTTGACGGTGATGTTTGGGACACAACTATTTGACGGTGATGTTTGGGACACAATTGTTTGACGGTGATGTTTGGGACACAACTGTTTGACGGTGATGTTTGGGACACAACTGTTTGACGATGATGTTTGGGACACAACTGTTTGACGGTGATGTTTGGGACACAGCTATTTGACGGTGATGTTTGGGACACAACTGTTTGACAACTATTTGACGGTGATGTTTGGGACACAACTATTTGACTGTGATGTTTGGGACACAATTGTTTGACGGTGATGTTTGGGACACAACTGTTTGACGGTGATGTTTGGGACACAACTATTTGACGATGATGTTTGGGACACAACTATTTGACGGTGATGTTTGGGACACAACTGTTTGACGAAGATGTTTGGGACACAACTGTTTGACGGTGATGTTTCGGACACAACTATTTGACGGGGATGTTTGGGACACAACTGTTTGACAACTATTTGACGGTGATGTTTGGGACACAATTGTTTGACGGTGATCTTTGGGAGACAACTGTTTGACGATGATGTTTGGGACACAACTGTTTGACGATGATGTTTGGGCACATGCATGTTTGACATTGTGATAATGATTGAGGCACATCCCTGTTCGACGTCTGATGTTGATGAATATCCCCGTCAGATGTATTATCTTACACCAGTAGCTTCAGTCATCTCCGCTCGTGAAGATCCGGGTTAGTATATTGATCTTCAGTAACCCATGCTTGTCGTAAGAGGCGACTAAGGGGATCGGGTGGTCAGGCTTTTGCAACTAAAGCCCGGCATTTTGATAGCGTTTGGCATGAAGGACTATTCCATAGTTCTCCTGATGTGGAAATCGTGGTAAAGAGTTTAATTGTTTGACAGTTATCTATCAAACAGAAAATAAATATTTGACATTCCTGGTAAAGATCTATTTATTTCTATGGCCGATATTCCACAGGGATCCGTCCTATATGTCTCGTCTATTTTCAATATTAACGTGGTTGGTAATACGGTAATATATAGCTTGTATTTACAGACGATATGTCGTCTGCTGCCGATGATCCTGACACAACAGCGTATGACTCAAACACTGATCTTGAAGACCGCCTCCGTGGTGTAGTGGTTAGAGCGTCTGCTCGGAGAGTGGAAGGTCGCGGGTTCGATCCCCGACTGCGTCATACCAAAAGACGTTAAAATATGGTACTTGTTGGTCCCTGTCTGGTGCTCGGCATTAATGGGTACAACAAGGACTGGTCGGCTCGGAGTCAGTATAATGTGTCTGAGTGGGGTATTCATGCTTCACTGCGGCATGGTATCTCAGTGGACTAGCACTATAAAACCAGCTTAAGTCTGGGCTAGTACAAGCAGCCGCACATACACAGACACACGCATGCACGTCGTCATATGAGTGAAATATTCTCAAGCACGACGTTAAACTCAATTTCACCTCACCTCACTGATCTTGGAACGGTTTCCAACTGGACGCATCAATGGCAAGTGGTATTCAACCCAGAAAGAATGGGAAACCAAAATGTTTTCAAGAAATATTATCTCAAGTTAAAAAACAGAGCCTAAAATGAACGATACTCCATTAACCGATGTCGCATTACTCGAAACACTGGGACTAGTTTTACAGCAGGATGGCCATTGGTCAGATAGTCACTGGACTTACGTTATGCACTAACTGTAAAAGGTAACAAAGTTCATTTGTACAAATGATTTTACCTGATACATCCTCACAGTCCCTGAACCCGTGGATGTCCGGGTTAGAATTGCTCTTCAGCAACCCAGGCTTGTCGTAAGGAAGGACTAACTGGATCGGGTGGTCAGGCTCGCTGACTTGGTTGACACATGTCATCAGTTCCCATTTGCGCAGATCGATGCTCATGTTGGTGATCACTGGATTGTCTGGTCCAGACTCGATTATTTACAGACCGCCGCCATATAGCAGGAATATTGCTGAGTGCGGTGTAAAACTAGACTCACTCACTCACAATCCCTGAACATCAATATTTTCCCTTCCGCCCAACCATTCCTGCAATGTAAAGGTTAGTCTGGATTTCTTGAGCTCACTAAGGTTCCGTTTAAATTAAAATGAAGTCATTTATTTGTATCTGTCAAATTATCCACCCCCTTAGGTTGCAGCGATGCACACCAATATCACTGTAATCTTCACGAGTCTACTACCTGCTCTTGTAGATACCACTATGAAGATGACAGATCTTACTTCTATATAATTACTGCTAGAAAAGGAACATGCCTTGGTTTCATCTTAACATAGAACTGCCGACAAATCTACTGATATCAACCTTGCTACCATTTAATCTGCTTGTTTGTTTACTGCTAAATCTAAACGATTCAAAATTAACATATTTGTCAACAGTCAAATAATGATTGCCTGCATGTATGGTATGCTGGTATATGGAGATGCGTGCGTGTGTGTGTGCGTGCGTGTGTATGTGCGTGCGTGTGTATGTGTTCATGTAGACACCGTTTCTGTATAGACTGCACATGAATATGTATATTGGCTTTTGGCTTTTAAATAATTGCAAGTGACAATCTCATATTACATGAAGACTATCAGTGGTATCATTTATCACCATGGTTTCACGGCCGACGCCTATTTTTATCTTAACCATGCAGATGGATTAATATGACCACCATTGTCAGCTATACTCACTGCCAGCATTGCCATGTATCTGTGTGTCCTGTACGTCCAGACAAACCCGTGAAGGTCCTGGTTAGAATGTGCCTTCAGTAACCCATGCTTGTCGTAAGAGGCGACTAACGGGATCGGGTGGTCAGGCTCGCTGGCTTGGTTGACACATGTCATCGGTTCCCATTGCGTAGATCGATGCTTGTGCTGTTGATCACTGGATTGTCTGGTCCAGACTCGATTATATACAGACAGCCGCCATACAGCTGGAATATTGCTGAGTGCGGCGTAAAACTAAACTCACTCACTCACTTCCAGACATGTTGTACTGCCGCTGTAATGTCCTAGAACAACTTATTTATAACGTTAGTTTACACAGAATACAATTGGTTATTGTATACCATGTCTTTGGTGCCTGTTGTTTTCACGCCGAATTCATTTGCGTACAGACTTCTTGTCAATGCCTTGGAAAACTAACACTTCCACAGCAAAGAGTGAGTGAGTGAAACGTTACCCAGAGCATTCGGTAATGTTAAACAGCAATTTCATGTCCGTTTATAGTGTATCGTATCCAGTGCACGAGCATGCGCTATTATTACCTTGGTAACGTGATCAGAGTGCACAGAAATTTCATTCTCAGCTTCCTAGGGAGTATCAAATCATTCAGGCAATATCACCACTGGAAACAACGATGTTGCACTTCATATTGTGTCTATGTAGGGAGTTCAACTATTCGCACTTTAACCAACATTTACTTCTCTAAGTACAGATGGTGTCTTACACGGGGTCCTCTGTATCGGGGATGTGTGTAACCTGTACGACTGTCAGCCGAGGTCTGCAGGGTATAATGTTTGTACAGTCACAACAGCGGGTCACCCTATAATGTATTCTGGACCAGTGTGTGATGACACTATATCCCTCTGGACAAACAGCCTCGACATAACACGACCCTTCTCCTTTAAACAGTTCTCTCTTGGAGATCCATCTGCTGGGTGTGACAGTGGGGTGCTGATCAGTGGCTGGATCAGGCTGTGTGTCTAAACACCGGAGTAAGTAGCTCTTTGTTTACAACCTCTCTGCTAATTGTCAGCTGTTTACAGCCTTCGTGTTATTTATAGTTTCTGATGTGTGATGATGATGATGATGATGATGTTCAATCTTTGCTTTCGATGTATAATTTAAACAATATCTATTCAAGGAAGTATAACAATATATGGATGAACAACTTCTTTATTGCCGTGAGAGCGACGTTTCGGTGTAGGTTCGTCGAGATGTGAGTGATCACGTGCTTGATAACGGTGTTCGAACCGACACCGAAACGTCGCCCTCACTGTAATAAAGAAGTTGTTCATCCATATATTGTTATCCTTCCTTACTGCCCCAACTTCTAAATGCCTCCCAAAGAAGTAATATTTATTCAATCAATTAATGGATCGGTAAACAGTCATTACACCTATATGAATACCTCTCCGATCCAAGCGTAATACATAATACAACATTCATTTATCAACATTGGAAACCAATCTTTAAAGTTATAATAATAAGTACTAGTACAACAGCACATTAACAATTCATGAATAAGAAGGACATTAGATTCAGGCTAAATAGTTGTGTCCAGAGTTGACAATATTTTGATTAATTTCATCGGATAATGAATAATTTCCATATAAAACTGATTGTAGATCAAAACCATTTTAATAGAAGAAACATCTTGATCGAACTTCAGCAAACTGTGGACATAGGAAAAGATAGTGAATGGCAAACTCATTGTGATAGCCACAACTACAGTTCGGTATATCCCCGGGGTAGTAACAGCATCTGTGATAACCACAACTACAGTTCCAGTATATCCCCGGGGTAGTAGCAGCATCTGTGATAGCCACAACTACAGTTCCGGTATATCCCCGGGGTAGTAACAGCATCTGTGATAGCCACAACTACAGTTCCGGTATATCCCCGGGGTAGTAGCAGCATCTGTGATAGCCACAACTACAGTTCCGGTATATCAGCCTGTGATAGCCACAACTACAGTTCCAGTATATCCCCGGGGTAGTAGCAGCATCTGTGATAGCCACAACTACAGTTCCGGTATATCCCCGGGGTAGTAGCAGCATCTGTGATAGCCACAACTACAGTTCCGGTATATCCCCGGGGTAGTAGCAGCATCTGTGATAGCCACAACTACAGTTCCGGTATATCCCCGGGTAGTAGCAGCATCTGTGATAGCCACAACTACAGTTCCGGTATATCCCCGGGGTAGTAGCAGCATCTGTGATAGCCACAACTACAGTTCCGGTATATCCCCGGGGTAGTAGCAGCATCTGTGATAGCCACAACTACAGTTCCGGTATATCCCCGGGGTAGTAGCAGCATCTGTGATAGCCACAACTACAGTTCCGGTATATCCCCGAGGAAGTAGCAGCATCTGTGATAGCCACAACTACAGTTCCGGTATATCCCCGAGGTAGTAGCAGCATCTGTGATAGCCACAACTACAGTTCCGGTATATCCCCGGGGTAGTAGCAGCATCTGTGATAGCCCCAACTACAGTTCCGGTATATCCCCGGGGTAGTAGCAGCATCTGTGATAGCCCCAACTACAGTTCCGGTATATCCCTGGGGAAGTTGCTGCATCTGTGATAGCCACAACTACAGTTCCGGTATATCCCCGGGGTAGTAGCAGCATCTGTGATAGCCACAACTACAGTTCCGGTATATCCCCGGGGTAGTAGCAGCATCTGTGATAGCCCCAACTACAGTTCCGGTATATCCCCGGGGTAGTAGCAGCATCTGTGATAGCCCCAACTACAGTTCCGGTATATCCCCGGGGTAGTAGCAGCATCTGTGTCACCACGCCTCTATACGGTAGTTCGGAAACTCACATGTAACATGTAAGTGACACCTCTGTCTCCCCAGGTGACCCGGCCCTGTCAGTCATGTAAATATGTATGAAGTCTCGAAGGTAGCCGAGAGGTGAGATAAGAAACTACTGGGAATTTGGGAGTTTTTTAAATAACTATGCATAACACAATCAGCCCACGATCATCTGATGACTCCCCTGTGTCAGTTGTCAAGGTATTACTCACTGTGGAGTCCGGGAAGGAACAGACAGTGTGAGGACTGAACAGAAGTTATATTTTTATTGTTTAACAACAGAGTTGGTATTGTCTGTTTTATTGTTTACATAGTTTTGCAGCCATGGTGTAGCCCTAAGCATTATGTGTGTACAAGTTGTAACTGTCAGTGTAGGCGGGCAACCTTTGTTGGAACAGGTCCTGGAGGACGTAACTGTCCCACCATCAAATGTAGAGGAACACCACCACGTACGTTAACGTGATTCCATAACTCAGATTATAATGTCAGATTCCATACACTATTGTACATGTCTCTCTACACATGCCTTTGTGTCTAAGACTAGGAAGATGTTGTCTATCTATTGATCTTGTCTGACGGGGGATACCCCAGCAACATGTCTACCTGGTCGTGAGGCGGTCGGTGATATTGTTTATGTTTACTGATAGGAAAAACACTGTACAGACTTTGTGTACACATATAGATATAGCTGCCATCCCTCAGTGGGGGCTGTCTTGACTTTAATATGCAGAAATCTACAGGTTCGGGGGGACATTTAGATCAGCAGATACGACTCTACGAAGGAATGCATCTTGAGATCAAAATGTTCACCAAAACTTAACCTGACGCCTAAATATTTTGGTATCGTAGTTTGAACCTCAGTCGGGCCGATGGGGTAGCCTAGTGGTTACAGCGTTCGTCCGTCACTCTGAAGTCCCGGGTCCGATTCTCCACAAGTACAGTGTGAAGCCCATATCTGGTGTCTCCTGCCATGATATTGCCAAAGGAGGCGTAAAACCATACTCACTCACTGACTTGAACCTCAATCACAGCTAATGGCAATATACATTTATTGATGCTCAGATAATCTGTGTAAGTGATGTCATCATTAGCAAGAGGATCGATGTTGTCAGATGCAAGAGGATCGATGTTGTCAGATGCAAGAGGATCGATGTTGTCAGATGCAAGAGGATCGATGTTGTCAGATGCAGGAAGAGCGATGTTGTCAGATACAGAGATACAGGAAGAGCGATGTTGTCAGATACAGGAAGAGCGATGTTGTCAGATGCAGGAAGGGGAAGGTTGTCAGATACAGGAAGAGAAATGTTGTCAGATACAGGAAGGGCGATTTTGTCAGATACGGGAAGAGCGATGTTGTCAGATACAGGAAGAACGATGTTGTCAGATACTAGAAGAGCGATGTTGTCAGATACAGGAAGAGCGAAGTTGTCAGTTACAAGAAGGGCGATGTTGTCAGATACATGAAGAGCGATGTAGTAAGATACAGGAAGAGCGATGTTGTCAGGTACAGGAAGAGCGATGTTGTCAGATACAAGAAGAGCGATGTTGTCAGATACAGGAAGAGCGAAGTTGTCAGTTACATGAAGAGCGATGTTGTCAGATACAAGAAGGGCGATGTTGTCAGATACAAGAAGGGCGATGTTGTCAGATACAGGAATGGCGATGTTGTCAGATACAGGAAGGGCAAGGTTGTCAGATACAGGAAGAGAAATGTTGTCAGATACAGGAAGGGCGATGTTGTCGAATGAAGAGCGATGTTGTCAGATACAAGAAGGGCGATGTTGTCAGATACAGGAAGAGGGATGTTGTCAGATACAAGAAGGGCGATGTTGTCAGATACAAGAAGGGCGATGTTGTCAGATACAGGAAGAGCGATGTTGTCAGATACAGGAAGAGCGATGTTGTCAGATACAGGAAGGGCGATGTTGTCAGATACAGGAAGAGCGATGTTGTCAGATACAAGAAGGGCGATGTTGTCAGATACAAGAAGGGCGATGTTGTCCAGATACAGGAAGAGCGATGTTGTCAGATACAGGAAGGCGATGTTGTCAGATACAAGAAGGGCGATGTTGTCAGATAAGTCAGATACATGAAGGGCGATGTTGTCAGATACAGGAAGAGCGATGTTGTCAGATACAGGAAGAGCGATGTTGTCAGATACAAGAAGGGCGATGTTGTCAGATACAAAAAGGGCGATGTTGTCAGATACAAGAAGAGCGATGTTGTCAGATACAGGAAGAGCGATGTTGTCAGATACAAGAAGGGCGATGTTGTCAGATACAGGAAGAGCGATGTTGTCAGATACAAGAAGGGCGATGTTGTCAGATACAAGAAGAGCGATAATGTCAGATACAGGAAGAGCGATGTTGTCAGATACAAGAAGAGCGATGTTGTCAGATACAGGAAGAGCGATGTTGTCAGATACAGGAAGAGCGATGTTGTCAGATACATGAAGAGCGATGTTGTCAGATACAGGAAGAGCGATGTTGTCAGATACAAGAAGAGCGATGTTGTCAGATACAGGAAGAGCGATGTTGTCAGATACAGGAAGAGCGATGTTGTCAGATACAGGAAGAGCGATGTTGTCAGATACAAGAAGGGCAATGTTGTCAGATACAGGAAGAGCGATGTTGTCAGATACAAGAAGAGCGATGTTGTCAGATACAGGAAGAGCGATGTTGTCAGATACCGGAAGAGCGATGTTGTCAGATACAAGAAGAGCGATGTTGTCAGATACATGAAGAGCGATGTTAGATAGGAAAGAACAATGATGTCGTCAGAGTCGAGGATGGTGATGTAAGGTGCAGGAAGTGTAATATTATCAGCGTCCACGAAGACCATCAACACGTCTGGAAATGAAGTATGATCGAACGTTGTCAGCGTGGTGAGTGAGTGAGTATGGTTTTACGCCGCTTTTAGCAATATTCCAGCAATGTGTGGATCTGGGAACACGGAGGCATGGAATTGCTTGTTGTCGTATGTCCAGTTGTTGTCGGCAGAAACGTGAGAGGGCCTAACCATGTTTTGTGTTTTTGATTCTGATTTATAAGCCTTTCAATATATTTTGCATAGAGCAAATCTGCATATAGGTGCAAGGATAGTGGCGTCGCCAGGTGCAAGGATAGTGGCGTCGTCAGGTGCAAGGATAGTGGTGTCGCCAGGTGCAAGGATAGTGGTGTCGCCAGGTGCAAGGATAGTGGTGTCGCCAGGTGCAAGGATAGTGTCGTCGTCGTCAGGTGCAAGGATAGTGGTGAAAGTCGGCAGGTGCAAGGATAGTGGCGTCGCCAGGTGCAAGGATAGTGGTGTCGTCAGGTGCAAGGATAGTGGTGTCGCCAGGTGCAAGGATAGTGGTGTCGCCAGGTGCAAGGATAGTGGTGTCGTCAGGTGCAAGGATAGTGGTGTCGCCAGGTGCAAGGATAGTGGTGTCGCCAGGTGCAAGGATAGTGGTGTCGTCAGGTGCAAGGATAGTGGTGTCCAGTATGAACTGACAGTATGACAGTATGAACCCATGTATGTGCGACACAACGATAATTTGAGGCCTTCTTCTCCTACCTGACCTGCCTTGTGTCTACCTGCCTGGGCGGAACACCATTTGGAAGACATCGATTATTGCCTGCTTCCAAAAGTTTTTCCTCAACCAAATTATCTTTAAAAGGTTTTAAAAGTTTGTCTCGTTAAGGCTTGGCACCTCATTTGGAGATTCAAGAAAGATGTCAACCTAAAACTGCATGTTGTAGTGACCGACCCCACAATATTCCAGCAATACTCCACAATAATTATTCAGGTTCAATTTATCTTTAAAACGTTTTGCTTACAAGTTAAGATTTGTCACCAAATTTGATTCCTAAGTTTATTTGGGTCTTGCCATGGCAAGGTACTATTGCATAATAGTTACTTAATCAAATGTATTCAGTAATGGCCGTATATTGAGATACACCTAACCCATATTCAAATGGACAGAATATTCTTGTCAACCGTTGACAGAAACCATGTGTTTTGGGGGCAGTATCTCTCATTATGACTTTAGGTGTTGCCTGATGAGAGGTAGAGGTATCCAAGTCTCACAACTGTGTACTGTCAGCGTTATTATGTTTTGAAACGGATAACTGTCGTGTGTACAATTTGTTTGCTAGGTATTAAAACAATATCAGAGGTCCTTAAAGTAATCAAATGGAGCAGGGTAGTGTACTGTAAACGTTGATAAAAAAAACACAACAGGACGCCATTATTCTGGTCAAGAATAATGTTCAATGAATATTACAATATATTGTCTGGACGCACATCCCTGCGTTGTGCAAAACCCTGTGTCATCTCATCAAGGTAGTATGCGTGAAGCGGTGTAGCTAGCAGCTACACAGTCTGAAACTTTGGTACCGGTGTCATGTAAACAAACCAACTGTCTCCACATCCTTCCTGTCGCTTTGAGCGGACACCATGGCTCTGTGTTGCTGATGTGTGATTACACCCTGGACTCTCCCGCACACCTAGGTATATTGTGTCTCTGGGCACCAGCTAGGTTGATCAGGAGATCACTGCTGTTCGCCCGACTCTTGACGTATCTCTTACTTATTCTTCAAAACAAGGTGCCAACAGTCAGGACCAATGTAACAAAGGAACTCCTCCGCCGGCGGCAGTATGTCAGCCGTAACTGTTACATGTATGTTGACAGGTCAGGAAGGCGGAGAATGAAGTTTGACGACGTGTTGGCGTTGCTGGGGGAGTTTGGGCCGTACCAGAAGCGGCTTTACTTCCTTGTGTGTCTGACTGGGATCTGTGTCGCATTCCAGACGCTGGCGTCTGTCTTCACCCTCACCGTCCCCGCTCACAGGTGAGTAGCGTCCTCGCCGTCCACACTGCCACCCCTCACAGGTGAGTAGCGTCCTCGCCGTCCACACTGCCACCCCTCACAGGTGAGTAGCGTCCTCGCCGTCCACACTGCCACCCCTCACAGGTGAGTAGCATCCTCGCCGTCCACACTGCCACCCCTCACAGGTGAGTAGCATCCTCGCCGTCCACACTGCCACCCCTCACAGGTGAGTAGCGTCCTCGTCGTCCACACTGCCACCCCTCACAGGTGAGTGGAGTCCTCGTCGTCCACACTGCCACCCCTCACAGGTGAGTAGCGTCCTCGCCGTCCACACTGCCACCCCTCACAGGTGAGTAGCATCCTCGCCGTCCACACTGCCACCCCTCACAGGTGAGTAGCGTCCTCGCCGTCCACACTGCCACCCCTCACAGGTGAGTGGAGTCCTCGCCGTCCACACTGCCACCCCTCACAGGTGAGTAGCTTCCTCGTCGTCCACACTGCCACCCCTCACAGGTGAGTTTCACTCTCACTGTACCCCCACCCCTCACAGGTGAGTTTCACTCTCATCGTACCCCACCCCTCACAAGTGAGTTTCACTCTCATCGTACCCCACCCCTCACAAGTGAGTTTCACTCTCATCGTACCCCACCCCTCACAAGTGAGTTTCACTCTCATCGTAGCTGATAAAATCATCACCGTCCTCATTACCACCCGTCACAGGTGAGTTTCCCCCTCTCCATCGCCCACGAGTAGGTTATCCGCACCCACTCCTTCACAAGTGAGTGAGTGAATGAGTGAGTTTAGTTTTATGCTGCTTCTATCAATATTCCAGCAATATCACGGCAGGGGACACCAGACATTGCACCCATGTGGGGAATCGAACCCGGGTCTTCTGCATGACGAGCGGACGCTTTAATCACTAGCCTACCCTGCCATTCACAAGTGAATCATGTGACCTAGTAAACTGTTCACCTGTCTTGTGTTTGTTTCTGTTCAATCTCTGACAGATGTAAGATCCCCGGCTACGACAACGACACATACGCCGTGCAGAGTAGCTACCACCGCCAGCTCATCAACCTTACCATCCCGGTCTCCGATGGCAAGTACTCAAAGTGTGAAATCTACACAAACCGGAACTCCACCATTTTGTCAAGGGGAGACAACTTGACCAAGCGCGAGTGTGACAGCTGGGTGTATGACAGGTCGACTTTTGTGTCCACCATCGCCACGGATGTAAGTCATTAGAACAGTAAATTCAGTTGAACTAACACTGTAGACCACTACACCGTCACACATCTGAGTCATTAGAACTATATTGTTTTATGTGTGATCCAAGAGGACATAACACTTCTCCACAGATACGGATTTGAGTCTGTAGAATGGAATGGCGTCAGTTGCCGTGTACATGCTTAGATTAGGCTAATGGAGTGCTGATTCTCAGAACTTTCAAACCACAACAAAAACAGAATTGAAAACAGAAACGACACATCTTCAAAATGCTTGCCAATTTTCAATAATATCATATTACCAATTTTTTTTACCAATCTCGTGATCTCCTCCCCCGTTACAGCTGAACATCGTATGCGGCGACAGAGTGGTGCGGACGTTGTCCAACTCCCTGGTGCTGGCGGGGAAGCTGGTTGGCTCCACACTTCAATGCTTTATCAGCGACATGTGAGTAGAGGCCTGTCTTGTCAACATACAGGAGTCATAGAAGACCTGTCTAAAATTTACCTCATAATTCACTCAGGTCGATGACTGACCTTTGTTTTGTGTTCTGGATTGCAGATTTGGTCGGAAGAAAGCGTTCCTAATGTTCCTCTTCCTGATGATACTCACCGGCTTCGCCAACTACTTCCCGTACAACTTTACCATGCTGATGGTCTTCCGGTTCCTGGCCGGGCTGACAACGACATCCACGTTCTTGGGAGCCTTTGTAATAGGTAGGGTAGACCACCACATCAGCGGTCTTGGGAGCCTTTGTTATAGGTAGGGTAGACCACATCAGCGGTCTTGGGAGCATTTGTTATAGGTAAGTATAGACCATGACATCCATGTTCTTGGGAGCGAAGACCACGACATCAGCGTTCTTGGGAGCCTTTGTTATAGGTAGGGTAGACCACGACATCAGCGTTCTTGGGAGCCTTTGTAGTAGGCAGGGAAGACCACAACATCAGCGTTCTTGGGAGCCTTTGTTATAGGTAGGGTAGACCACATCAGCGATCTTGGGAGCATTTGTTATAGGTAAGTATAGACCATGACATCCATGTTCTTGGGAGCGAAGACCACGACATCAGCGTTCTTGGGAGCCTTTGTTATAGGTAGGGTAGACCACGACATCAGCGTTCTTGGGAGCCTTTGTAGGCAGGGAAGACCACAACATCAGCGTTCTTGGGAGTCTTTGTGATAGGTAGGGAAAACCACGGCATCCATGTTCTTGGGAGCCTTTGTTATAGGTAGGGAAAACCACGGCATCCATGTTTTTGGGAGCCTTTGTAATAGGTTAGGAGACCACGACAACCGCGTTCTTGGGAGCTTTTGTAGTAGGCAGGGTAGACCAGAACATCTACGTTCTTGGGAGCCTTTGTAGTAGGCAGGGAAGACCACGACATCAGCTTTCTTGGGAGCTTTTGTAGTAGGTAGGATAGACCACGACATCCAAGTTCCTAGAACGGTTTGTCATTGGTATTGAAGATTACGACATGCACGTTCCTGGAAGCCTTTGATATATGTAGGGTAGAACACATAATCAAAGTTTCTTGGACAGCTTGTCATTGGTATCGTAGATCACGACATCCACGTTCCTGGAAGTCTTTGTAATAGGTAGGCCAGACACGTTGTCTGTGTTCTAACTGAATGTGGGTGAGTGAGTGAGTTGGCTGTGCTGCTTTAAGCCGTATGGTTATTCCAGTCATTTCACCAATGTCACAAAGGCTCCTTAAATATGTCCGTCTCCCTTGCATAGAATAAACATAAAGTTGGGATTATGTGAAGCGCCAGTGTACAAGAGTAGCTGCCTTGGTTAAGATCTCAATACTGATTGTTGTGACTTATCGAAAATCCTGACAGCAAGGTATTTTGTATGTAAGCCCCGCACCTTCCGCCTGCAGGGGTGGAGTTCGTGGGTCCATCCAAGCGTGTGTGGACCGGCCTGGTGATCGAGTTGTTCTGGGTGCTGGGTATGATCATCATGGCGGGTCTCGCCTTCCTCCTCCCGGACTGGCATCACCTGGTGCTCGCCCTCGCCTCGCCAGCTGTCCTCTTCCTCAGCTACTGGTGGTCAGTATATGGTATCCACAGGGCCCTCGGGTTCTGAGTCCATTTGCTCAAAGCGATCTTAAAGCTATGACGGTCGCATCTCCCATACGTATATATGAACTTGGTGGTAGCGGTGACATCGTCTTCTGCAAGTTGGCCTGATGTTCAGAACTAAACAGTCTTAAATGCCAATACATATACTGTATATTGTTCTATGCTATATACTGTATATTATATATGTACTGTATATTCTACAGTATGTTCTATGCTATGATGCTATGTCTGTTGTGTAGGTTAATACCAGAGTCTCCCCGCTGGTTGATGTCGAAAGGCCGTTTGCAGGAAGCGGAAAACATAGTGCGAAAGGCCGCCAAGGTCAACAAGATTACCCTTCCGGAAACGCTGTTCGACGACAAGACAATGGAAGCAGAGAATGAACCCAAGGGGAAGCTGATAGAGATGTTTACCAACAAAACACTGGCAGTGCGGTCCTTGATCCTCTTCTACATCTGGTGAGACTACGACTACCGACTCACATAAATCACACATGACACAAATGTGTGATCATATATCTTCTAAAATTAATACTGTTCAGCTAAAGAAGATAAATAACAGTATTCTACGAGATACCTGTTGAGACACACTCCAGAAACATCAACACTGCCTCTAACGCCTGGATGTATTATGTAAGGAATAAGCAACTTTAGACTGGACATGGTTTTGTCTGTCTCAGACTGCTGTTCCTGCAGCACGGTTCTTGTCATGTACAAATGTTAGAATCGATCTCATTTTGGAGGAAATACATTGCTGTCTGATGAAATTGCGACAGACAAACACAAACACACCAGCGAACAATAGATCAGTTGCGTCGTCTTGTGAATTTCTCCTCATATATTCTGCCCCTCTACTCGCGATCTCTGTCTCTAGGATGGTGTCGAGTCTGGTGTACTACGGACTCACCCTGAACGTCTCCAACCTCAGTGGCAACATCTTCGTCAACTTTGTGCTGTCGGCGCTGGTGGAGGCGGTGGGGTATATCCTGTCTATCTTCCTGCTGGACCGAGTCGGACGCCGGGTACTGCTGTGCGCACTGATGTCACTAGGGGGCGTGGCGTGTGTCCTCACGGTCTTTCCCGCCATCTACGCCAGTGGAAGTAGGTGGACCGTGGTCAATCTTAACATGAACCATTTTGTAATATTACTGCGAAGCAAGGATACTGGGCACACATGTGGTTCTGTTTACTGTTTGAAACTGTGGATTGTAGCAAGAACGAGGTGGACAAAACATGTCCTACTGGAAATGGAGGCTCAGACGTGGTTCGATTGTAACGCTAACTGATAAACGTGGGGCGGGTGGGGGTGGGGTGGGGGTTGTGTGTTAGGTGGTAGACTGAGAACCTCTGTAGTTAATGTGAGAACACTCGCTGTGGATAGTGTCACAAGGCTGAGCGTATATATGTAGTTAGTGTGAGGTTCCTGGTTGTGGTTCATTTGAGAAGCCTCCGATGTGACCAAGTGTAATGAGTTCTGTATCTGGTCATTCCAACATGGGTCATATATATAATCATCTCTGTTCGCCATGTGCACATCACGGTGGTGTGTTCCTCTCCGGGGTCGCATTTGATTACGCAGAAGAGGAATCTTGAGCTGGAATATGACGTAAAGGCGACAATAGTTGGCTTCTGGTAGAATCGCTAAAAGATTACTGAATCAGCATCAGTCTAAACCAGTATATGTTGTCACACAAGCATCAAATGGTGGAAAGATTGTCTTTTAGCAGTATATAAATGACAACTTTACTTTTCATTTATTGCAAGATGTGCCGTCTTTGTTCCAGCGGCAGACTGGTCGCTAATGATGTTGTCGCTGGTGGGGAAGATGGGTTCGTCAGGGGCGTTTGGTGTCATCTACATCTTCACCGCCGAGTTGTACCCCACACCTCTGAGAAACATCGGCCTTGGCGTCAACCTGACGTTCTCCAGGATAGGCGGAGTTATCTCCCCTTTCATTTCCGATTTAGTGAGTTCTTCTTGACATTTTATGAATCAGTGAGATGCTCTCTTTGTCAGAGTCGTCGTATGTTGTGCACACGTATTGTAGATCAAATTATTGACCCTGGTAAAGAGGGTCTGAGTCAAGCGGTATAGGTCCCAGTCCTTGTACCTGTATTGGGAACACCTAACAGTATTGAGAAGCCCCTATGAGCTGTTTTGGCTCCCGTCACACGTATGGGGCTTAGCTTCGGGGGGCTTTAAGGGTGTGAAAACGTGACGACACCCGCACGTGTCGCACATTACGTGAAAGCTCAGACACGGGGCTTTCGATCCATAGTAACAACAAAACCCTGTGGTCAATGTACGAAACATAACAAGCACATGCTGCGTGAAATACTGCCGTAAATCGGGTCAAATCGGGCTTAAAAGCGCCCCGGCTTCGAACCCGTTAAAGACAGGTCACTTCTGATGTTACTACCAGTTGGCCCTGGGAACAAGCTTCACGTCGATGTGCAACATGTCAATGGGTTGTGTATAGTCGTCGTCCACGCGACGTTTAAACAACAGCACCCACCGTTTCTGGCCCCTGATATAGGGCTATATCATTATAACACATGTATATTATATCTTTCTGTTGTAGGGTATACTTGTTGGGGGTACGTTTGGCGAGCAGGCTCTTCCTCTGGTGGTATTTGGTGTCACTGCTGTCCTTGCTGGTGGGCTAGCCCTCGCCCTTCCGGAAACACTGAACCGGAAATTACCGGAAACCGTCGAGGATGCCAAACAAATCGGGCAAGTCTCATTTATCTCTGACTGGGATTTGTCTTAGTGGTGGAATGTCAGATGACCTTGTAGTGTGTTAGACTAGCCACAGGACCCGACCGTCCATTATCTCATACACCATGAATGGTCAAACCTATTGCTATCGCGTTTTTTTTTATCCGCCTTTATTCTCAAAACAATCCTGGATTCGACGAGGCAGACTGCTAATCAAACGTCCAGTGTCAACTTTCTACGCCAAGTTTGTTCAGAGTGGTCGGTGGTTGTTGACCAGGGCCATGGTAAGGTGGTTACAGAGGATATACCAGACGTGTTCGATGGGTGACAAGTCTGGACTGAGTGCTGGCCATGGTAAGGAGGTTGTATTCTCCTGTTGGAGGCCCTCAGTAACACTTCAAACACAAACCGACGTTCAACTTGGCACCAAGCGTGCCTCCAGAATATCACGGTAGTACTGCCCGTGACACCAATATGTAAAAGTGTTCTGCCAACCACAGTGATCAACCCCATACCATTACAGTGCCATCGCTAAAACTATCGTTCTGTCATGAAAACGGCATGGAAACGTTCATTCCGTCCACGCGACACTCTGTTGCGGCTGGCCAGGACGTGCAAAGTAAACCTTGATTTATCCGATAACATTAGACGACTGGTCCAGCGCTGCAATGGGGCGGTCGGCGACTCGTGGGATGCAGGTTCCATCTCTGTAGCTTATTACGAATCGTCTGACCACTCGCTCGAACACCTGTAGCTCTGTGAAGCTCATTTCCAATTTGAGAGGCACTTTGCTTTGCACTTATCACAGTCGCTCAAGCTTAAATGGTCTTTGGCGCCAGTTGTCGCCCCTGGTCGACCAGCGACCTCTATCATCATATATGTCTGTTGATATCGTGATTGTAATCTGCCAATTACTGTCGCGTAAAGAGTACATGCCACAATGATGTGTCTAACCATTCATGACGTGACAGATGCTACATGTAAAAAAACGTTTAACCGAGTTAAAAAACATATTAGAACAACTTTCAGTCTGGTTTTTTATCACATGTACAGCAACACTCGAATTTTACCCTGACCATATGCTCGTGTACGTCATGAAAACAGCATGATTACACAAAAACTTTACACGTTGCGAATGGAATAATCCTGTTTCTAAATCCCTATACAATCTTACAAATTGGTTCCAAAATGATATCACCCCAAACTGGAATGTCCGCAACTTGAACTGATAGTACAAAACGAAGCTTGGATTCGTCATCAGTCAGGGATGATAATGGCGGACGTCACACTGGCAGGGCAGAACAATACTTAGACTGTGTGACGTCATTGCACCAGCTAGCAAATAGGGATTAAGTTTAATGACTGATTTATGTTAATCTGTGTCCACGTAGCTGTATGACAATATTGTCTGGTTGCATGAACTGACGTTGGTGCATGTACTTGATCTAACAGCATTGTCTCGTTGCAAAGGCGCTTATGTTGTGGTGTATGTAAGGAGGAAAATCAAGTTCTATGGATAGTCAACTTCTTTAATGCATGTAAGGAACTTGATATTAGGTTAAATCTTGGCTGAGGTGATACCATCATCGTACATGTAATGAGCACTAATGTGACTGTTAACTCGTCATGTCTTCCACAGGTCCAGCACAAAGCACAAGTACAAGATGAGAACAGAGGACCAGGCCGAGAGCGTCTTCACAGTGGCCTACAAGAACACGGAATAGTCAGAGAATGTGATATCGTGGCCTTCATCCCTCTCGGATGACACCCACAACACGTACCCCTGTCAACCATGATCCACCCCACGTACCCCTGTCCTCCATGATCCACCCCACGTACCCCTGTCCTCCATTACCCAACTCACGTACCCCCATCTCCCATGATCCATCCCCCGTCCCCCCGTCTCCAACCCTATCCCAACACCCAGCCCCAAGTTCAGTGGCTTATCTTGTGGAACCTTGTATCTTGTATGTGATGTACTATAGACTCCCCAAAAGTAAGGAATACTCGGAAATAACCTTTATGAGATATATGTTACCAGTAATAGTTGCCTGATATATTAAACGACAACACATTACAAGCGGTACCAGCCATGTATGTACAGATGTTAGGACCGCCAACGATCTTGACGGACTAAATGGGTAAACATGGGTCATTTCGAAGTTGCCATTTTGAGTGCGTAATTACTGCACTGATTTCTGAAACATTCACTTACAAGACGAGGCATACTTCGTATAAGCCGCTCCCTGTTGCAGTGTGTGGTCAAGTTCAGTGTACGTGGTCGGCGGCCTGCCGCATACAGGTCCCTATCACGTCCTGGCCGTGTTCAGTCGGGAAAAGGGCTGAGCTCCTTGCTGGCCATAGCACTGTATGTAGTGGTGCTGGAGGCGAGTACAGGCATTGTCTCCCTGGCAAATCGTCGAGCAACAAAGGGAGTGCATGGAGACGAACATAAGGAGACGATTTCTGATCATCTGATCCGTAACTAGTACTCCAGTAGCCTGATCAAGGTTTGAGGTAATTTGATTAATTTGATTAACTGTTTGTGGGTGATTCGAAATATCTGGCTCCGGATCAATCCTTGCAGTCTTGTAGACTCTGGAAGCCCAGTCACGGGTTCAACCGTGAACGTTATGGGATAGGTGCTATGTGTTGCATAGTCTGCTAATCACTGACTGTGAAGTATTGGATGTATGACTTCATCGCATGGTGACTTCTGTCAGACGCTACATCACTAGATTGTACACTGCTACAGATATACACTGCTACATCACTAGATTATACACTGTAAATCACAACTGTAGGTGAGGTGAATCACGCCTGTAGGTGAGGTGAAATTGAGTTTATCGTCGTACTTAAGAATATTTCACTCATATGACGACGTGCATGCGTATGTATGTGTGGCTGTTTGTACTAGCTAAGACTTTAACTGGTTATATAGTGCTAGCTTACCGAGATACCATGCCGCATATAAGCATGAATACCCCACTCAGACACCTTATACTGACTCCGAGCCAAACGGTTCTTGTACCCATTAATGCCGAGCGCCAGGCATGGACCAACAAGTACCATATTTTAACGTCTTTTGTATGAAGCGGTCGGGGATCGAACCCGCGACCTTCCCCTCTTGGGCGGAAGCTCTAACCACTACACCACGGAGGCGGCCCACAACTGTAGGATGATGAAAACCATTAAGACCCTGTCACAAATAGCGGTCAGCAGAGATTGAGCGATACCCTTTAAAAGACAAAACCTGGAATGACATTCTATGCACGTGTGACGCAACGGATGTTTTGATGTGACAAGTCTCATAGACTACAACGTTCTTGCAACTGATCGTTGTACACATTTACCTTTGTTCTAATACCTTGCATTACATTCACATTCCATGATTCCCTACTTGGTTGGGAGTACGTTTTGTTCATGTTGCGATTATTGTTTATGAATAAATAAATCAGAAGCTGTTCGTGATTAAATGTGCATGGTTCCCTGTTAGCTGGGAGGAGGTTTTGGTCAGCTGATATGTCTTATTGTGCTGGAGCTTCGGGTGGACCGCACGGCAAGACATCACACTTACTACTGACAATGTCGTGGAAGATCTTTAGTCAGACCTCCGTCTTTTACTGTCTATATGCTACTAATATCAATTTTTGTCCGTTCACACGGCAAGATTCACATGACTTTTGCAAATAACCGGGGTCATCTTTTGATTACTCGTTACCATCCACCATGAAATAGAAGCAACATATAGGACCATATTTCCTCCGTCGGTCACTAGTACTTCATTTCCAGGCATGGTTAGACATGACAAAGACATTTGATATGAAATGTCATATACTGGAGATTAGAGTACGGTATTTGCGATGCGAGTACCGGTCTCTCATAGACGGGGGTATGGTCATCATGATGCTCTTGACATCAGCTTCACCACCCAAATCATCTCACACCCTTCTCCCTAAACTTCTTAATTTACTCAACGTCGTCTTTTTAAGTGCTTTTCTTGTTTGTCCAGCCTTGGACTCTACGATTGGGCTTCACCTGTCAAACAGTATCCCAAGCTATTCTTGATGTGCAGGTTCTACGATTGGGCTTCACCTGTCAAACAGTATCCCAAGCTATTCTTGATGTGCAGATTCTACGATTGGGCTTCACCTGTCATCCCCTATTCTTGATGTGCAAACGATTGGGCTTCACCTGCCAAACAGTATCCCAAGCTATTCTTGATGTGCAGATTCTACGATTGGGCTTCACCTGTCAAACAGTATCCCAAGCTATTCTTGATGTGCAGATTCTACGATTGGGCTTCACCTGTCAAACAGTATCCCAAGCTATTCTTGATGTGCAGGTTCTACGATTGGGCTTCACCTGTCAAACAGTATCCCAAGCTATTCTTGATGTGCAGATTCTACGATTGGGCTTCACCTGTCAAACAGTATCCCAAGCTATTCTTGATGTGCAGATTCTACGATTGGGCTTCACCTGTCAAACAGTATCCCAAGCTATTCTTGATGTGCAGATTCTACGATTGGGCTTCACCTGTGTCAAACAGTATCCCAAGCTATTCTTGATGTGCAGATTCTACGATTGGGCTTCACCTGTCAAACAGTATCCCAAGCTATTCTTGATGTGCAGATTCTACGATTGGGCTTCACCTGTCAAACAGTATCCCAAGCTATTCTTGATGTGCAGATTCTACGATTGGGCTTCACCTGTCAAACAGTATCCCAAGCTATTCTTGATGTGCAGGTTACCAAGGAAGAAGCACCCATGAAGACAAACAACAAAGTGAGGACATTACCCCTTGTATTTATTTCTTGACAATTATCAGTGATGTCAACAAGTTCCTATGTATTTACAAAGATCAGTCTGATGTACAACAGTATAATGGAAATAAATACACAAATGAATGTACATAGCACTGCTGCCCTGCGGTGTGAGTGAGTGACAGCCCTGAGAGATAGCCACCTGTGACGTCAGGAGGAGAAACCATGGTAACAAAGGTTCATGATCCCTACATCAGAAATTACTCTAGTAGTACCTGGATGCCATGGACGCTGACAGTGGATGCTGACGCTCATGGGAGGGTGTTGTGTGTTCATTCTGTCATTGTCTCACACACATACTGATCATCAAAAGTTGTGGAGACATAGAAATGAATCAAATATAACATGAAGTACCCAACTTCAACATATTTCCATTACATCCTTGTCCTGGCCAGGTGCACGTAATAAACCATCACAACATATTTCCATTACATCCTTGTCCTGGCCCGATGCATGTAATAAACCATCACAACTGGATCAAATGAAACTTGGAACACACAAATACTCAACAGGAGATTCGTCACTGACTACAAACACAAATGTTATGTGCTGGTTCCTTTCCCCACGAATATCTACTTTCAGACACAAAGGCATGCCACTGAATATATAGTTATTACTAACCTTGTGATCATCATCAGTATCTACTCCGAGCAAAACATGAAACAGTAATATACATGTAGTCATGGTGATGCCAGCTAATGACAACATGTACATATATAATATTAGTGACACCTGTAACAGTAAACACTGCTCTCTGATGTTCACTGATGGAGCAATGGAGTGAGTAATGACTGAAATACTGCAAGACCAGAACATTCCCTTCCTGTCAGAGCCACATGATCGACGCCTCACCACAACAAGTGTTCTGTGTTTAAACTACATCCAGAAACAGGACCCTTGACTTTATCTAATATGGTTACATACAGGACAGGCTAGAAGTGTTCGTGCAGATGATATTTCTTTTGTAATATATCTCAACATTTGTTTCATCAGATAATGTTAATCACATCCATGGTCCTGTGTGACTGGTTCCAAATGACTAGTACACCAGTTCCTAGTGAAACACACAAGTTCTGTGTGACTACTTCCAGGTGACACACAATGGTTCTGTGTGACTGGTTCCAGGTGACACACACTGGTTCTGTGCGACTGGTTCCAGGTGACACACACACTGGTTCTGTGTGACTGGTTCCAGGCAACTATGCCACCGCTTCAAGGTGACACACACTGGTTCTGTGTGACTGGTTCCAGGTGACACACACTGGTTCTGTGTGACTGGTTCCAGGTGACACACACACTGGTGCTGTGTGACTACTTCCAGGTGACACACACACTGGTTCTGTGTGACTACTTCCAGGTGACACACTGTTTCTGTGTGACTGGTTCCAGGTGACTAGTACACCAGTTCTGAGTGAAACACACAGGTTCTGTGTGACTGGTTCTGAGTGACAACACACACACTGGTTCTGTGAGACTGGTGCCAGGTGCCAGAGATGTTGGTTCCCTGTGACAGACTGGTTCCATCTCACATATACTGGTTCAGAGTTACAGAGGTGCCAAATGACAGACACCTGTTCCTGGTTTCAGTGGATGTACAGGTTCCCAATACCAGAGACACTGGTTCTGAGTGAAATGAACACTGGTTTCGTCAGATCTTCCTACAGGGACACTGGTTCTTTGAGCAAGATACTAGTTCCATTTGACAATGACACAAAGTATATTGGTAACTTGGTTTGCGTTTTAGGTTGTATTTGTGACCTGGTCAAGCCATTCCATGGGTTTCTATCACTGTCCTGAGCAAAGGAATCATGTAAAGAAAGACACTTGGCATTTGGTTTGGTCTACATCAATATGTATGGAATGTGCTTTGAAGAAAGAAAGAAATATGCAGTGCTTTCAGACTGAATATCAAAATTCTTTCCTACGTCAACCACAGCCCTCAAAACCATCCACCAAGCCTCACATTAAATACTTGGTTCTCCATGAAATACTTTCAGAAATGTAGTTATCAATTCACTAAACTTTGGTATTGAATCAGAACTAAGGTAATATCGTACAAAGTTCTCTAAAATGAAACATTTGGTCGGAATCCTACACCAACATCTCCTGGCTATACATCACATTCACAAGAGATTCTTCAGCTGTCCACATCCCTCACTGGGTGTTCTGTGCAGAACATGCTCTTCCAGAACAGTACCAACATCTCTGCCCTAGATCCCTGGGTTGCTCTGGTCAGTATATTCTCTCATAGAAGAGTAGATAAGCTTGTGCCCTCTGGACGTTGGCCTCCTGCACCTCACTGACCCGACTGTCACTGACATGGTACCACTTGCCCGGGGGCACCAGGGTCTCCAGGGTCTCATCACTCAGATCGTCCTCTACCGGGGAGCGGGGGCCGTTCATCACGCGGTGGGCGTACTGGTGTACGTAGTCCCTTGGGGTGGGGACCTGGGTGTTCAGGTAGTTAGTTAGTGCTGCTAATGAGGGTCGGACTTTGACATAGGCGGTGTAGTGACCACCGGACAGCCGGCCGCTGTGTTCCACTACTCCATACAGGGCGTACAGGATCTTCTTCTGACCTGGACGGATGCCCTGAAATATGGAAGAGTAATACTGTAATCCATACAACTAGTGTCCATAGATCAGAGATCTATCATACAGTGTTTTCTTCAACTGACATAACCAACCTTTCACATGGTCCGCTATGGTAAACAGTGTATTATTGAAATATTGAGTATTGAGTATTGATCAAGGAACTGGCAATTACAATCAATGTGCATGGCCTCGTGTGGAAAGCTGTCCTTATTCAGAGAACATAGAGAGGTAGATTTTAGTGGTGCATTGGAGTTGAACATGAAAATTTCATTGTGTCAAGTGTGTGCTTGACTAGTTTCTATAAATTCACAACATCTGCTTCCAAAACAAGCATCCAATCATAGGTGACTAATTAGCTTTGAAAAGCAATTGAAAGAAATATTAGCTATGGACTTATTAAGAAACAAACTGTAAACTAATCACTGCTAGACATAAAGTCTCATATGTACCATCCTCAACCATCGCAACAATTCCAATTGTCAAGAACACTTGTGATGTGCTGCATTATCTCCCCTAGTGTGAGTTACCTGACAGAGGGCACTGCAGTAGGGGGCCAGGTCAAACACAAAGGGGAAGTCCACATGGCGGTTTACTTTCCGTGATGTGAAACCCACCTGAAATACACACATTTCGGTTGACATGTTTGCTGCTGCATCCAAACCACAGTTCACTGTTCTAACCATAAACAGTAAAACAGACACACACTGGTGTGGGAAAGGGAGTGAGTGAGTGAGTTTAGTTTTACACCGCACTCTGCAATATTCCAGCTATATGGCGGCGGTCTGTAAATAATCGAGTCTGGACCTGACAATCCAGTGATCAACAGCATGAACATCGATCTGCGCAATTGGGAACCGATGACCTGTGTCAACCAAGCCAGCGAGCCTGACCACCCGATCTTGTTAGTCGCCTCTTATGACAAGCATGGGTTGCTGAAGCTTCAGTCTAACCCGGACCTTCATGGCTTGTGGGCCAGGGAACACATAATGCTTCAAAAATAGAAAGAACTGGTGGAACAGAAGAACGCTTGGTGTCAAGTCTATCATGCCTTTCACACAAGCACTCTACATGAGGTAGACAAAGTATACAAGACAATGGTAGCAACTGCATGGTCTGATGTGTCTCTAAACTGATGTCACCGTGTTACTTACAAACATGTACAATATTTGGTCACTTGTCCCAGTATTTGTGTCTGAAAAGGCTGTGATGTCATGTAATTCCAGAAGTACAAAATGCAGGTTTTGTGATAGTGAACTTATCACATCCTATGTCTACCTCACAACAGATTTTACACAAATCATCGTACAAAGGGCTGAATCCCCAAGCTCAGTCCTACATCTCAGCCGAGTCACCCACCTGTTCAAAGCGTTTGAGATGCAGGGTGAGCACTGATGGAGGCAGGAAGATGTGGTACTGCTTACTAGCGTTGGAATACACTGTCTCTGATGTCTTCTTATCTGCTCACAAAAATAAGCCTTATTAATTATTTAACATAAATACTGTAAACAAGACAGATGAGGGATCTATACCCTAAAATACTCTACATCATCATCTACAGACTTTATGTTCAAGGAATGAGCCTTTAATTTAAACTATAAAACTTGAAATTCCAGTTTTCTTCTTACCATTGTTTACCTGCCAGAAACAAGAAGATATCAGCACCAAGCTACCCAAGTTCTATCCAATAAAAACAAAAAGTTGGAACAGAACAGAAAACTGTTCACATTGGATTCAATTAAATACAAAGATAAACTAATAAATTCACTGTCAGAAACCTTGACACTCAGTTCCGGGCTGCAAGATGGGGCTACAATCTCACAGTACAAGGGTACTGTACCTTTCTGTTGAGAGATGGTCTTGTTGCGTTTTGTCTTGGTGCACTGCTTACAGCCGAACTTGTTGGAGCCGGTGAGCAACTCAGCCGAAGTGAACTGATGTAGACAGGACATGATGGAGCATTCCTTGGGAGCTGGGTGGTAGCGAGGAGCCAAGGGATTCATCGACTTGTGCTGGGCCTGCTTCCGCAGCTCCACCTTGTGCTTGGCCTGGTTTGGGGACAGTCGGTCACTGGTGAGGCCGTTGGTCAGTATGTCTTCTGTGGAGGGCATGGATGTGCACTCTGTCAGGTCGCGTTGGGGACTGACAGTACAGTGTGTCCTCACTCTCCCCCTTCAGTGTCAGCTGACTATCACAATCGTCTGGGCTGCCTCGACCAGCGACATCCAGCACAGTGTATGCTGCAGCACCACTGCCTTCCGTCTCGGGGCCTCTCACCCCCTCAGACTCCGCACCCACACCGTTTATCACAGACTTCTCAACTTCTCCATTCATACCTATCACAGTATTACCGTTCAGTAGGACATCAGTATTTTGGCTTGCATTATTAACTGCTGCCCCATTCTGCTGACACCTTGCACAGCAAGTCCCTACACGGTCACACGAGTTCACATCAACACACATGTCTTTGGCATCACATTCTTCAGTCTCAGACTGATCGGCAAAAGTCAATCCACTCAAGTCATTACATAAACTAGTCACATCTGTTTTGACTGCTGCTATAGATGTTCCACCTTCACCAATACTGTTGGTCATTCCCTGACTGTGAGACTTGATGTCCCCGTTTCCTGTACATACTCCGCCAGCCACGTGGAGATTGGAGGAGATTTGTTCTGCTGCTATATGTCCCAGTTGACCATCAGTGTCCACACTTACAGGCTGACCACGAGTCTGGCCGTCTGTCTTCCCACCTGACACTGCTTCCTTCTGCACTCCTTCCCCGTCGGTCAGACCTGCATCCTTCCTCTCCCCATGCTCCAGCTGGGTGTGCATCAATCGGGACGTGTCACTCTCCAGGTTGTCTTCAATGTCAGCATCTGAATAACACAAACATTACTACATCCCACCTACGTCACCTCCAACACTTTGAGGATATTGCTACGACATCTAGTGTTGTCTCATAAAACCATCATGCAGCAAGCAAGTGTAGAGTCCATGTGTTGTGCAAGTAATGGAGAGAGTCCTTACTATTAGAGACGGGCAGACTGTCATACACATTATCATACGATGACAGTCTGCCCCATATCATACATGTTGCCAGGACACGTGTGTGAGGTTATAGTCCCCACCATTTCCATATAAACCTCATTTACTGAATCTAACATCGGAACAGAATACATATCTGTCAGTGAAACTCACCTGACTGGTCATCACGTCCGCTCCCCTGAGAGTCGTCGCCGTCGTCTTCCCGCACCTTGTCCACTGACACGGACATCTTCCTCTCCTCGCCACCAACCTCGTCCTTCCTGCAAATGTCGTCAGCAGAAGTCCAGCTCTTTTGTTTAGACAGTTTGGCACCACGTCGCTGAAGGTAGACGAAGAAATTGCTGCACGGTTAACATCTTCCTCCAAAAGCTACTGGACTACACAATATATAACTGGGTGCACCAGTAACAGTCAGCCCTCATACAACATCATACTTGGTCCTCTTACATAGTAACTGGAGCATAATCTGTAATGAGTACTTTCAATAGGACATCTTCTATTAAAAGCAACCTCTGATTATATCTACATCACAGTACCTTCGCTTTGGCCTCTCTCTTTGACTGCTTCTTATTCCTTTTCTTGTCTGCATGTTTGGTGGGCTTGTCGGCCAACGCCCCCTCCACTCCCTTCAACTCCTCCGTGTCCATGCTCTCCTTCTTTCGTCCCCCGAGGATCAGGTTCGGTCGCTGAGGCTGCAGGGGACACAGACAACACTCAAACCCAGGCTTCAGTTTAGACGTCTCTTATCAATACATAGAGCATGTGCTGGTTGTATTGGTCTACTTCCAGAAGTTCAGAAATATGGTGTGGTATAATCTGGTCATTTACTGACTAATATTTAAACAGAGTGAGAAAGATTAATACTAAATCTGTGTGCCGATTGTAAACAGGTGAGTCACATACCTTCTCCTCAGTCACTGGCAACGACAGATCCAGGAACGGCTCAAATATCTGGGACACCTGTCAGTGTTGGAAACCATCATGCTTTATCTGCCACTACACAGGCCCAACAACCTACACCCGCCATATAGCAGTGACTTGATCACAACAATCTACACCCGCCATATAGCAGTGACTTGATCACAAAATGAGGCATTATCTGATGTGACAGAAAACCATCAATAAATAGTTGTATGACTGAATCATAATATCCTGCACACACTACTATCTACTGTAGGACTATATCATGTTAGACTTAACTGGCTATCTACTGTAGGACTATATCATGTTAGACTTAACTGGCTATCTACTGTAGGACTATATCATGTTAGACTTAACTGGCTATCTACTGTAGGACTATATCATGTTAGACTTAACTGGCTATCTACTGTAGGACTATATCATGTTAGACTTAACTGGCTATCTACTGTAGGACTATATCATGTTAGACTTAACTGGCTATCTACTGTAGGACTATATCATGTTAGACTTAACTGGCTATCTACTGTAGGACTATATCATGTTAAACTTAACTGGCTATCTACTGTAGGACTATATCATGTTAGACTTAACTGGCTATCTACTGTAGGACTATATCATGTTAGACTTAACTGGCTATCTACTGTAGGACTATATCATGTCAGACTAAACTGGCTATCTACTGTAGGACTATATCATGTTAGACTTAACTGGCTATATACTGTAGGACTATATCATGTTAGACTTAACTGGCTATCTACTGTAGGACTATATCATGTTAGACTTAACTGGCTATCTACTGTAGGACTATATCATGTTAGACTTAACTGGCTATCTACTGTAGGACTATATCATGTTAGACTTAACTGGCTATCTACTGTAGGACTATATCATGTTAGACTTAACTGGCTATCAACTGTACGACAGAATCATTTTATCATAAACAGACTATCTCCTTTGAATCAGACTACACCACCAGACTCTATGACATGACTGAATCAGACTACCCTATCTATGGCAAGACTGAATCAGACTACCCTAGCTATGACATGACTGAATCAGACTACCCTAGCTATGGCAAGACTGAATCAGACTACCCTATCTATGACATGACTGAATCAGACTACCCTATCTATGACATGACTGAATCAGACTACCCTAGCTATGGCAAGACTGAATCAGACTACCCTATCTATGACATGACTGAATCAGACTACCCTATCTATGACATGACTGAATCAGACTACCCTATCTATGACATGACTGAATCAGACTACCCTATGGGAAGACTGAATCAGACTGACATGCAAGACTGAATCAGACTACTACCTAGCTATGGGAAGACTGAATCAGACTACCCTATCTATGACATGACTGAATCAGACTACCCTAGCTATGACATGACTGAATCAGACTACCCTAGCTATGGCAAGACTGAATCAGACTACCCTATCTATGACATGACTGAATCAGACTACCCTATCTATGGCAAGACTGAATCAGACTACCCTAGCTATGACATGACTGAATCAGACTACCCTATCTATGACATGACTGTACGTACATGTTTGCACTCCTCACACATGACGGTGCTGACCAGCTGTCCCCCAAACACCGAGTCCAGGAACGTGTGTTTCACTTGCCGACCAAACTCTGCGGACAGTGATTCAATGCAGTTAGAAGCTGTACTATACAGTAAGATGTAACCATGTCACAAACAAGGACAACAAGTGTTTGCCACTGGTATGGCAATGTCCCCCGCCGCTAAAGAATGGAATATTTATATTTACTACAGTTTACATTGGGGTATTACACAGACACCAGATTATTTGGGTGACCTTGACCTTATTGACAGCCTACATTGGGTAATTATGCAGACACCAGTCATTTCATGCATCTTGTATGTGACCAAAAAACAAGATGTAGGCTGTCAACATACTTGAAAACATTGGGTGCAATGTTTTATGAGATATTGCCTTTAAAAAGCGGTCAAAGTATCGTGGTGACCTTGAAGATACGGTCAAGGTCACCAAAATAAACTGGTGTCTGCGTAATCCCCCAATGTAGGCTATCACCAAATTTGAAGACATTGGGTACAACAGTTCATCAGATATCACGTTAACAGGAGTTTGAAAAGTGGTCAGTGTTGTGGTGACCTTGAAAATAAGGTCAAGGTCATCCAAATCAACTGGTGTCTGCGTAATCTCCCAATGTAGGCTGTCACCAAATTTGAAGACATTGGGTACAACAGTTCATGAGATATCGCGTTAACAAGAATCGGGACGTACATACAGACGGACGCCGCTGAATACATATTCCCCCGTTCGCGTTGCGGCAGGGGACAACAACCTATCAGACACTTTTGTGGAGGGACTGACTGGTGTATGTAGGACATTAGCAGCCGGTCTGATGTTGCCAGTTGAACTGGAAAACATTCTTGTTGTGTCTCTTACATCAACACGGGAACTTGACGACAAGTTAATTACTTCAACAAAGCAAAAACAACGTCAAACACCATGTTGATTATTGTCTGGGTAAACAGTAAGACCTGAAGACTACCTTTGATCTTGACCTTGGTGTCATCATCTACTTTCTTGGGGTTGGTGGACTCCTGGAGCTTGAAGTACTTTAGGATCCCTGTCTGGCCGCGCTGCACAAAACAGAATACAGTTGATTTAAACTTTTACTTTAAATGCTTAACGTAACCACGACATACAAAACCAAACCAAACCTTTGTTTCTAGAGCAAGTGAGTGAGTTAGATTTATTGCTGCTCTGAACAGAATGAATAAACTAATGAACGAAGGAACGAACGAAACGAATGTCTCGTCCACAATTAGAACAAACCAAACTATGCCTCTATTTCTCCGCTAGTCTCCGACAAAATGACGTCCGGCTTTGTCTAGTTCTGTTAATGAAGGCAGTAACTAATTAAGTCTGGAGCCTCAGTGACGGGCATGTTATAAGACTTACCCAAGCCGTCTAGGCATAATGACGTGTAATCAGCCATGTTCATACATCCAGCAAACAAACTTCAAACAAAGCTTTCAAAAATGAAATCTGACCTTGACCTCCTCAGTGCGGATGACGTCGAGAAGGTAGCGCAGGAGCTCGTGACTGTCTTGCTGCTGGAATCCCTTGAACCGTGGGGCTCTGTAGACAAGGGAGTCTATCACCACATTGTCATCAAGGTCAACACAGTGCACATGGTCATGATAACACATAAAATAAACTCATGGGCAGTAGATAAGATTTAGAAGACAAAACTCAGAACCGTTTTGAAGAATGCAGGAGGTTGACACACTTAAAACTCTACAGACCGCAATCTATTTGTATCTTTGTTTCTGAAGCAGATCTGGACATTGCTCACACATGTATTTATGCCAGAATGCTGCTAATATCACATTAAAATTTATACAAACCTGTAGAGGTTATGAATTCTTTGAAGAAAGTCCTCCTTAGGGTACATATAAGCATTAAAATGTCCATTTTAAATCCTACGACAGTTGTTACTATATTTTTAATAAAATATTTACAAAACAAAAAACTCATTTTGTCTTGTGAGACCACCCCTACAGGGCCCCACTGGACCAACACAGCCAAGAGCAGGTAACTCTCGCCGTCTACCTCGTACCTCACTTTTCATGCTGAACGTGTCAGACAGAATGAGGGGAGGCGGGTGGCCGTACCCCAAGGAGGACTTTCTTCAAAGAATTCATAACCTCTACAGGTTTGTATAATTCTTTTTCAGAAGAAGTCCTCCTTGGGGTACATAGCATATGACAGACTCCCAAAGATATTTGAGACGGGAGTGGCATTCTGTCTGGCAACAACTAAACCCGTGGTGGAGTGAAATCTACAACCGATACGGAAATAGAAAACACCGAGCCACCTGACCGCTGATGTCAATCAGGACGGGCGGAACTAGAGAGACCAAGCTTATATGTCAATTGGCTCAATATCAATGACATAAAACCCCGGCCCCAACCATCACAATGGAAGGAATGTATGGGGACATGCCGAAACACCTCCCAACCCTAATATAGCCCCAGCCAGACAAGCGTGGCGAGAGGTATAAGGGTAGGGAAAGCATAAAACATTTTAACGCTACAAAGCCAATAACATAGGAGTCGAGCTAATAAGTACTGCAAACTAATGCTCGAATGCACCCCTGTTTGGAAGAGGGCTTGCCGGGACCTCGATAAAACCCAGATAAATTATTAGCCTCGCTAAAAACTTTCTGAGGAAATCGAACGAGTACAAACGCCATGCATTGTACGAGTGAAAAACACCCCCACCAAACACTCTCGGCGTGAGGAGGGTAAGTGTAGGCCACCATCCCACAGAGCTGATTAACACAGACTCCCAAATACCGAAGGCTCGGGAAGAGGGATAACTGTAAGCGTACAAAAATCCCCTGAATAGCGAAAAGCGTAGCCAAACATGTGTTGGCTCACCATTACACTAACCTGGTCACGTGACATGCGGCTCGTAAGAGAGGCATACCAAACAGTGCCCCGTGTCGCAAGACGGGTTAATAGCATATGACTGGTTAAAGCGTTCAAAACGGACCCCGCCCTCTTGAAGAGGACGTAAGGGACGTATGTACACCCAAACCCGACCCAACCCGAAAGGATGGTAAGGCTAATACGATGTAGTGATATGAAATGTATCGACATTGAACACAGAACCGATACCAATGACCAGTTACTAACTTGGTCAGGGTGGCAGGGCACTCTCCACTGAAGAGAACCGAAAGACCGAACCGAGCACGATCCTTAGAATGCGTGTCAAGTTGGTAATGGCGAATGAAGGCGTTCTGCCGGCTCCAAAGAGCGACAGAACCGATCTCTTCATTGAGCAGTGCCGCTGTGTATTGCCAACAAAGCGGCATCTGCCCTACCCAGTCTGCCTTCAACCCCTCGGGGGAGGTAAACCTTAACATTGTAACCGAACAATTATGGAAACAAGCCAACGAGATAAAAAGCGCTTTGTTAGCAGACTCCCAGTCTTCCGCCACCAAACAGCACACATGGGTACCCGTGACGGATCCCTTTTGTTCGTTTCGTTCGTGACAGTCACGGGTGAGCAATCGAAGATTGGTCCCGGTGCGCGAAGGCTGGGTAAGGGGTGGAAGTGCGATATGAGCAGTCACGAGGAAAGCAATATCGCACTGAGAGTGGTAGGTATCCGGGAGGCGAATATGGACATGGTCAGTATAAAATACTGTCAGTGTCCGGTCAGTGGGAATCGCATGGATGTACCCGACCCTTCTACCAGAGTTCACCACAACAAGTAAAGTCGTCTTCCACGTCAACAAGTGAAGTGAGAGAGACGATATACTTGAAAAATTAGGGCCAGACAGCCAATTGTGAATAAGTGGCAATTTTAAGGAGGGCTGGGTCGCCGACGAGGCGGTCGAACCCTGTTCATGCCAGCTACTGACGTGATGTACGACGAGAGGATGCTGCCTAGGCAGAGCACCATCGAGCGAGGTGTGAAAGCGTGGAAATAGCCATGGAGTACCCGGCAATGGTGGAGGTCATAAGGCTCTCAACCAAAACGAGGTTATAGTAACTCCAATAGCCGAACTAAATCCGCAGAATAGGGATTATGAAATCCCCCTATCTGCACACCAGCGCAACCCACCTATCAACACACTGAACGGGTGTCGAATCCCAGCCAGAATTGTGTCTGCAACGGTTGCAGGAATTCCGTGTGTTATACCCGACAGAGGCCAAGCCACCCAGTGAATCCGAGGATTCGGGTGTGGCGCCCCGTTCAGAGTGAGAATGTCTGGCCGAAGAGGTAATTCGAATCCCGGCGTGCGGGATCGAACACCAACCTGACAGCTGTCAATTCCAGCACATTGATGTGCAGGTTGTAACTACGTCTCAAGAAGCTGCAGGTCACCCAGAACATCGCCCTAACCCGGTAGGGATGTATCTGGCTGGACTGACAGCGACGGTGTCTCCAGGGGTGGGAACCCTCGGAGAGACGCCTGACGTCTGTCCATCTGACTGCGTGAGGTTGACAATTCCGCCCAGTTTGGTAAGAGTGACCAACACTGATCGTGAGGTCCCCAGACTCAACAGTTATTCCGAAACCACGATGAGCCAGTCGCCTAGGTACGGGTGACAACACCGGCACAGCGATCTGGCTATCTGAGCTGTAATAAACCACAATTTGGTGAACACCCTTGGCACCGTAATGTAGCCTAAGGAGAGCACACGAAACTGGTAGCACGTCCCATCAAACAAGAAACCGAAGGTAAATCTTGAAATCAGGGTGCAATGGAACAAAGGAGGTATGCGACCTCGAGGTCGATTGACGTGCGCCAATCCCCTGTCTCGGCAGATGAGATCACCGAGCGCGGTGTCTCCATCTTGAAGGACAGTACCTCTATGAACTTGTTCAGCTCTCAGATGAGAATGGGTCTGAACATTCCATTCGTAATGGCAACGATGAAATAAATGGAGTCAAACCCCACATTTTCCTGACCATTGGAAACCACCACACTGGTTGCCTAGCCCAGCAGAGACTGGATCTCGGCACAGAGTATTGTCGCCGTCTCCCGGGAAGCCGACACTGGAGTGTGTCGCTCCGACCGGTGTTTTCGGCAGAATATAGTAAACCCTAGCAGTCGGCAACTTAACGTTTGCCGATGCCTGGGCACCTGAGGAATAAACGAGAAGCTCAACAGACTTCCGTATTTCTCGAAAAGGGTCCCGGGCGTATAGGCCCATAACCGCCCTCATCATTTGGCTGGCACAGCTACAATGCAGTCCCTAGCCAGATGAGAGTTGACCCCCATTAGATGCCGCCCAGGGTCGCTGACGAAAAAATACCGCCGGCGCTCTCTCCCCTTTCCACCAGCTCCCTCAGCAGAGCTGAGAGATGCGCCGAGTGGAGCATACAGCGTTGAGCTGTGAAGGGGAAAGAACGGCAGACTAACGGGAGAGTGTGAGGCCTTGTCCCGGATGCCTTGCTGGAAGCAGGCTTCCCTCCGGGAGGCGAACTCCAACGGTTCGGGTATTCGACGTGGACAACACCTGAGGCAACACAGCCGCGATTCTATCTCGCACTTGCCTCAGGGACGAACGTACTCAGTGGTAAGTTCAAAGTAGCGAAATGAGCGAAGCTCAAATCGACTTGTCCACTGTACGAGCCTGAACCCCGATTCCGAGGCACATGTGAGAAGCCTGACAATCAAGGTTTCACAAGCACTCAGACAGACCTCGGAGCGTCGAGGTGACCGTCACAGCCGGCACACTCGATGGCATCGTGGTCAAGACGTCGATAGACATCAGGCCGAGACCTGAACTACCGGAGCCGGGAATCTGCACCCTACCTGTGCCGAAGCCTGGGTCGGTGCTACCCACGGGGTTCAGAGAATCCGCGAGAGCGAAGCTCAGCTGTTCTAGACCGAACCCGATCCGAGAGACACGTAGGAGTAGCCTGATAAATCAGGTTTCCCCAAGTACTCTCCAAAAGCCGCACTAAGCATATAGTCAAACATAGCCTATAGCGCTATATAAATACCCATACATACACATGTATGTATATACATACACATGTATGTGTATATATATATATATACACAGATATATATATATATATACGTAAGTGCTCGGGTCGGCGGTTCGAGTTCGAACCCCGATCCCAAAACACATGGGAGTAGCCTGACAATGCAGGGCTCCCCTGGTGTACACGGGTAGACCTTGGCGCGTCGAGGTGATCGGCAGCTCGTCACACACAACGGCCTCTTGGCCAGGGCATCGATAGACATCAGGCGAGACCTGAGCTAACAGCGCCCGGGGATCTGCTCCGTGCGGGGCGAAGCCCAGGTCGGTGCTAGTCCGATCTGCAGTCCCGAGACAAGGGAGTAGCCTGGCAATGCAGGTTTCCCCTGGTGGACACAGGTAGACCTAGGAGCGCCCGAGGTGATCGGCAGCTCAGTGGAACCCAGACCGAGGAGCCGAGAGAGGAACCTGCCGATATACAGGTTTCCCGGGCAACCCCGACTGACCACTTGGCCGAGGTGTCCCCGAGCTGGTCGAGCCCTGGCGACCGCCAGTCAGGGCACCAGGCGAAGACAGGGTGAAACCTGCATCGCGCGCCAGGCCAAGCGCCGCGAACCTGAGCCGAAGCCAGGTCGCCACAAGGTGCCGAGGTGTCCCGAACTGGTCGGCCTAGGCGACCGCCAGTCAGGGCACCAGGCGAAGCCAGGGTGAAATCTGCATCACCGGCGCCAGAGCCGTGAAGCCGAACCTGAGAGCAAGGTCGCCACAAGGTGCGAAGGGCACCATCACCTGAGCAGAGCCAGGATCAAGCTGCCTGGGAAGGCGTTCTCGAGCCAGAGCTCGGGGCGCAGATTAACCCCCAGATGCGTCCGATCCACCCCGGCGACAGGCGTGCTGAGCTCCTTGCGGAACCCAGACAGCACCATGTCAATCGGGATTTCACCACAGACGACACCTGGTTAACTTACCTTCGAGATCAACGCTGCGAGCCGAGCTCCTGACGGAGCCGGACATCGCGCTATCAATCATGGACTTGACATTATGTTGAAGAATATGTTGCTGCAATAGTGAAGCAAATTGAGTCATATTTAAGTCAGCAACATTGTTTGCGGGGAGCGATAAAGGGATTTCCTTAGAAACCTTTTATCAAATATTATCCCCGCCTGAAGCAGATTAGTGAAAAAACATAAAATCTGCGTGTCGGAAAGAATGCTTCGCGGAGTGAGCAGAAACCCAGACAAAAGACCACAACCTCGGCCTATGAGCCCGCGTTGTGTGTAAAGCGTATGAAATATGTATCATAATACAACATAATGTAACAGGAATATTGGACGCAAGGGCGTTTATTATGAGCATCCTTGATCGTCGCGGAGCGTCCTCGGCTAAACACCGGAGGCACACTTTATAACCATCCTGTGGCGGTAGTGTGCACGGCACAACGCACAGGGCTTAAACTGCAACAAGCAGAACCACGCCAGTGTTACTAGCAGGAACTGTGAAGCAGCAAACACATAAACACAAGTAATAGCAAGAATAACCCGCATGGGCGATATATAAATGCTACAAGCTACAGCCATTTAAATACTAAACATGCAATGCAAAGCAGAAAAAAGGCTAGCCACCCCTGCGTGTACATACTAGTGATAGAGTAAAGTTGAGTGATACGAAACGAACACTATCAAAATTACTCAACAGCGACTTACCACAAATTCGCTGAAAAGAAAGAGAATTTAGGCAAGCCTACCATATAATATGCAAACATAATATATGAACTCCCTACTACAAGCTACCAAGAACATATAGCAAAGGAAACCACGATCGACGCGGTCCGCCATTTTGCCTGCCACATGGCTGGAAAACAGAGAACCCACGCAAAGTTACAACAAAAGATGAATGAAAATATCAACATATGACGTGGAAATCTAACGCCGTCGCGTGAGAGAAAGGAACCATACATACAGATTGAGATCTTATACACTCATCGTATCGGTAGGAGAGCAAACTCGAAACGAACACCACGCACGTCTATTCAACAGAACGACAGCATGAAAAGTGAGGTACGAGGTAGACGGCGAGAGTTACCTGCTCTTAGCTGTGTTGGTCCGGTGGGGCCCTGTAGGGGTAGTCTCACAAGACAAAACGAGTTTTTTGTTTTGTAAATATTTTATTAAAAATATAGTTACAACTGTCATAGGATTTAAAATGGACATTTTAATGTTTATATGTACCCCAAGGAGGACTTCTTCTGAAAAAGAAGTGAGAGTGTCCATCATTGTCTCCAGGACAAAATACAGTGAGGATATGTGGCTAGTGTTTCTGTGTCTCCTACTGAGGCTACTAACTTTTTACAGACTTGTCCGAACAGTCCGCTGGGGTTGACCGTCATGTTGCGGGGTGCGGTATGGTTCATATCCTGCAAGAAGCTCATCATGGCCTGGGTTAGCGGCCCCGCGTCAGGCGGCACAATCTCAATAGAAGGCTGGAGAGAAGAATGGGTATCAATAAACAGTGTTTCTTGCTTTGAGTGAACTATGAATAGACAGTCCATTATCTTTAACACACAAATGTTACAGTATATCTTCAACTGGCTACTGGCCTTTTTAATGGTGGAAAATGTCTGTTAACATTTTCTATAGTGATCTATGACTACATGCAGAGTAACGGGTGATCATAGTGATCTATGGCAGTGCATGCAAAGTGAAGGGTGATCATAGTGACCTATGGCAGTGCATGCAAAGTGAGGGGTGATCATAGTGACCTATGGCAGTGCATGCAAAATGAGGGGTGATCATAGTGATCTATGGCAGTGCATGCAGAGTGAGGGGTGATCATAGTGATCTATGGCAGTGCATGCAAAGTGAGGGGTGATCATAGTGATCTATGACAGTGCATGCAGACTGAGGGGTGATCATAGTGAATGATGACAGTGCATGCAGAGTGACGGGTCATCATGGTGATCTAGACTAGTGCATGCAGACACATATACAAGACAAATAGACATACAAGTTCCTTCAGCAAGTCATCCTCACTGTCATCATCGCTGGATCCCCCAGTGTCAGAGTCTGAGTGAGGAATCCGCCCGGGGAGCTGGAGACTACGCCCTTTCTTTGTCCGATCAGACAGGATGGACTCCAGGCTGTGGGTCTGACTCAGGTTCTGGAAACATCAGATCACACGGATAGACAGACAGACAGCAGTATTACCTCCCTATGTTAATGGTAGAATATTCCCGTCTCTGTGACACATAACCAGACAGATAGACAGACAGACAGCAGTATTACCTACCTATGTTAATGGTAGAGTATTCCTGTCTCTGTGACAGACAACCAGACAGATAGACAGACAGCAGTTTTACCTCCCTAGGTTAATGGTAGAATATTCCCATCTCTGTGACACACAACCATACAGACAGACAGACAGCAGTATTACCTCCCTATGTTAATGGTAGAATATTCCTGTCTCTGTGACACACAACCACACAGATAGACAGATAGACAGACAGCAGTATTACCTCCCTATGTTAATGGTAGAATATTCCCGTCTCTGTGACACATAACCAGACAGATAGACAGACAGCAGTATTACCCCCCTATGTTAATGGTAGAATATTCCCGTCTCTGTGACACACAACCAGACAGATAGACAGACAAACTGCTCCCGAAGAAGCTTTACGCAGCAGTAGTTCAGTTCCTTTATGTCAGCTGAGGGAGAAAGCTGGGTGCTGGTCTAGATGTTTACCATGAACACTGGGAGGGATCTCACAAACTAAATATACCTCATCATGGCGATTGTGGGATCTTAACCTCTGAAGATTGTTTTGAGAGATACGTAAGGAATGCAGGTCTGTGTAGAAGCTTGTGGTGTTCTAGATAACAGAACTACCTGTCCCGTGAGTAGATCTCCTTAACATTGTACTACCAACTGATACTCAAACATATCTTCACGTACAGTCATCATTAAGTTAAAGCTGAACACCGAGTTATAGTCAGTACATTTGGAATGAATTATATAAGCTTTTCAATATATCAGTCTGTGAAAAATGTTCTGTATACATGAGTATGACATATACAATTTGACCACGTAAATGTTTTTACCTGCATCACAGCATTGAAGAAACAGGTGTTTCCTAAGTTGCTCAAACCCTGAAACAGTCAACAAAAGGAAACAGTCACAGAAGTTTGTTCATTCACAAGCCAAACTTCTTTCAGGCAGAAAAACTTGCCACAATATATCGCTGCCTCAGCAGTTTTGTGGAACGTGGTCATAGTTATACTGAATGGAACAGTGAAGCATTATTTTCTTGAAATTAGACAGCAGCACATTAGTTAGATAATGTACAGACATGCGGGAGTGACCAAGACTACTGATGGTGCACTCTGTTTCCACCGCTTGGTCCTTCAGAAACAACCAGACTGACAACCTACTGACCTTGACCTTCTGACAGGATGATGTAGCTACTGTTGCTTTGGGCGTGGAAGGTCGACCATTGTCCTTTACTACACCTACATCAGCAGTGGAGTCAGCCCTCCCACGTCGCCCTGCCGTACAGCAACATAGAAACATTAGTAGTCCCAATTAAACCATTTGGAGAGTGCGGTGGGTCTAGTGTGGGAGGGAGGGGGGATGGGGAAGGAGTGAAGGGCTATTAGGAGTCAGCTGGGGTGAGAGGGTGGCCACTGGAGGGGTGAGAGGGTGGCCACTGTAGGGGTGAGAGCGGGGCCACTGGAGGGGTGAGAGGGTGGACACTGGAGGGGGAAAGGGGGCCACTGGAGAGGAGAGAGGGTGGACACTGGTGGGGTGAGAGGCGGGCCACTGGAGGAGGAGGACTGGGGTGGACACTGCAGGGATGAGAGGATGGACACTGGAGGGGTGAGAGGGGGGGTGGCCACTTGAGGGGTGAGAGGATGGACACTGGAGGAGTGAGAGGGTGGACACTGAAGAGGTGACAGGAGACACAGGAGAGGTGTGAGAGGTGGACACTGGAGGGGTGAGGAGAGGTGGGTGAGAGGGAGGACACTGGAGGGCTGGTGAGAGGTGTGGACACTGGAGTGGACACTGGAGGGGACCGGAGGGTGAAGGCCACACCGGGAGGGAGGACACTGGAGAGGGTGGACACTGGACACTGGAGGGCTGAGAGAGGGTGGACACTGGAGGGGGGTTGAGAGGGTGGACACTGGAGGGGTGAGGGTGATGCTGGAGGGTGGACACTGGAGGAGGACACTGGAGGATGGACACTGGAGGGGTGAGGGAGGGACACTGGAGGGTGAGGGTGGACTGGCTGGATGGGTGGCTGGAGGGTGGACTGGAGGGGTGAGAGGATGGACACTGGAGGGGATGGGGTGAGAGGGTGGACACTGGAGGGTGGGGGTGACACTGGAGGGTGAGAGGTGGACGCTGGAGAGGGGGGTGGACACTGGAGGGGTGGATGGACACTGGAGGGTGGGTGGACTGGAGGGGGGGGTGAGGGTGGACACTGGAGGGGTGAGAGGATGGACACTGGAGGGTGAGAGGGTGGACACTGGAGGGGTGAGGGATGGACACTGGAGGAGGGTGGACACTGAGAGGGGACACTGGAGGGGTGAGAGGGTGGACACTGGAGGGGTGAGAGGGTGGGGTGGACAGGTGGGCCTGGAGGGGTGGAGGGTGAGAGGATGACACTGAGAGGTTGAGAGGATTGACACTGGAGAGGGTGGAGAGGAGGGCACTGGACTGGAGGGGTGAGGGGTGGACACTGGAGGGGTGAGAGGGTGGACACTGGAGGGATGAGAGGGGACACTGGAGGGATGACTGGAGGGGTGAGAGGATGGACACTGGAGGTGTGAGAGGATGGACACTGGAAGGGTGAGAGGAGGATGACACTGGAGGTTGAGAGGGTGGACACTGGAGGGATGAGGAGGGTGGACACTGGAAGGATGAGGGGTGAGAGGATGGACACTGGAGGTGTGAGAGGGTGGACACTGGAAGGGTGAGAGGATGGACACTGGAGGAGAGTGAGGTGGATGGACACTGAGGGTGAGGGGTGAGAGGATGGACACTGGAGGGGGATGGACAGAGGGGGATGGACACTGGAGAGGGTGGGCACTGGAGGGATGAGAGTTGAAAGGATGGACACTGGAGGGGTGAGAGGATGGAAACTGGAGGGGTGGGAGGATGGACACTGGAGGGGTGGGAGGATGGACACTGGAGGGGTGAGAGGATGGACACTGGAGGGATGAGAGGTGAGAGAATGGAAACGGACTGGAGGGTGGAGGGTGAGAGGATGGACACTGGAGGGATGGAGGTGAGAGGATGGAAACTGGAGGGCTGAGAGGGTGGACACTGCAGGGGTGAGAGGAAGGACACTGGAGGGATGAGAGGATGGACACTGGAGGGTTGAGAGGGTGGACACTGCAGGGGTGAGAGGATGGACACGGGAGGGATGAGAGGATGGACACTGGAGGAGTGAGAGGGTGGACACTGAAGAGGTGACAGGAGACACAGGAGAGGTGTGAGGGTGGACACTGGAGGGGTGAGAGGGTGGACACTGGAGGGGTGAGAGGGTGGACACTGGAGGGGTGAGAGGGTGGACACTGGAGGGGTGAGAGGGTGGACACTGGAGGGGTGAGAGGGTGGACACTTTATTGCAACTTCATCTGACGAAGCTGCAGCTTCTTCAATCTATCATATCAACACAAGTTCAACAAAAGTTCCGCTCTACATGTATCCACACCAACTGTGATCAACCCATCTTAACCTCTGAAGATTGTTGTAAGAGACACTTTCCTTAACCCATTCCTGTCAAGCATGAAACATTCACCTTGGTCCAGTAAATCAAACTTAGTGAGGCTTAACCACACTGGAATCTACTGCAACAGTTCACAACATACAATAATGTTTTTAGCCCTAACTACTGTTTTCACTAAACCATGTTGAACATAAAACCTTGGTAAATTGTCTCCTGACCATGAGGTATTACCTGTGACTGTCTGGTCGACTCGTGGGAGACCGGCCATCTTCCGCAGCATGTCCACACATTCCTGGATCCTCTTGCTGGTCTCCAGGATGATCTCCTCATCACATGCGTAGCACCTGCAATACCACCCATAAACATAATGTTAGTCTGTCTCTCAACCAAACTATGTCCCTTCAGCCGGACATAGAACCTGCAATACCATCCATAAACATAATGTATGTCTGTCTCTCAGCCAAACTATGTCCCTTCAGTACCATCCATAAACATAATGTTAGTCTGTCTCTCAACCAGCCAAACTATGTCCCTTCAGCCGACATAGAACCTGCAATACCATCCATAAACATAATGTAAGTCAGCCAGACATAGAACCTGCAATACCATCCATCAAACTAACTGTGTCCCTTCAGCCGGACATAGAACCTGCAATACCATCCATAAACATAATGTTAGTCTGTCTCTCAACCAAACTATGTCCCTTCAGCCAGACATAAAACCTGCAATACCACCCATAAACATAATGTAAGTCTGTCTCTCAACCATACTATTTCCCCTTCAGCCAGACATAGAACCTGCAATACCATCCATAAACATAATGTAAGTCTGTCTCTCAACCAAACTATTTCCCTTCAGCCGGACATAGAACCTGCAATACCATCCATAAACATAATGTAAGTCTGTCTCTCAACCAAACTATGTCCCTTCAGCCGGACATAGAACCTGCAATACCATCCATAAACATAATGCTAGTCTGTCTCTCAACCAAACTATGTCCCTTCAGCCGGACATAGAACCTGCAATACCATCCATAAACATAATGTTAGTCTGTCTCTCAACCAAACTATGTCCCTTCAGCCAGACATAGAACCTGCAATACCACCCATAAACATAATGTAAGTCTGTCCCTTCAACCGGGACTATCCCTTCAGCCAGACATAGAACCTGCAATACCATCCATAAACATAATGTAAGTCTGTCTCTCAGCCAAACTATGTCCCTTCAGCCAGACATAGAACCTGCAATACCATCCATAAACTAGTCTGTCTCTCAACCAATACTCCCTTCAGCCGGACATAGAACCTGCAATACCATCCATAAACATAATGTAAGTCTGTCTCTCAACCAAACTATTTCCCTTCAGCCGGACATAGAACCTGCAATACCATCCATAAACATAATGTAAGTCTGTCTCTCAACCAAACTATTTGTCCCTTCAGCCGGACATAGAACCTGCAATACCATCCATAAACATAATGCTAGTCTGTCTCTCAACCAAACTATGTCCCTTCAGCCAGACATAGCACCTGCAATACCATCCATAAACATAATGTTAGTCTGTCTCTCAACCAAACTATGTCCCTTCAGCCGGACATAGAACCTGCAATACCATCCATAAACATAATGCTAGTCTGTCTCTCAACCAAACTATGTCCCTTCAGCCGGACATAGAACCTGCAATACCATCCATAAACATAATGTTAGTCTGTCTCTCAACCAAACTATGTCCCTTCAGCCGGACATAGAACCTGCAATACCATCCATAAACATAATGCTAGTCTGTCTCTCAACCAAACTATGTCCCTTCAGCCAGACATAGAACCTGCAAAACCATCCATAAACATAATGTCAGTCTGTCTCTCAACCAAACTGTGTCCCTTCAGCTGGACATAGAACCTGCAATACCATCCATAAACATAATGTTAGTCTGTCTCTCAACCAAACTATTTCCCCTTCAGCAAGACATAATGCAATGGCCCTAAATAAAGCAACTCTAGATTTCTACCAGTTCTGAATCTACAACCTGCTGACTCCTTTTCACTTGAATTTAGTTGCTTGCTACCTCAATGCCACTTTCTGAAATGTTCACAGAATCAAGTGCAAACAGCTCAACACATGTCACGAGTTTTCAATACACATACATTTCCCAAATAACACACTCATTACGCGGTGGTGTAAAACCTGCATGGATTTACGTAAGGTGTTACCGAGGTTGTACTCACCAAACGGCCCACGTCGTGAGGTTGACGACAACACAGTGCGTTCCTGTGTGAGGGGTTTCATAGTGAGCAAGAGCATGTTTCTCTTTGGAGTTCCGATCACAGCCCTGTAACAGAGATAACTCGCTGAGTTGGTAAAATTAGTACCATCACAGGGTTAGACATGGTCTCTAGTCTCTAGTCTGTTATTCTGAGATGAATGAAAATCTATCTGGACAAGTTGTGTTCCCAAATCTTCTTATTTTAGATGAACAACTGGGAACAGGTTATGCATTACCAAAGGGTGTCTAATCATGTCCAAAACAGCCTATCTATCTCTGTTTAACCAAGAACGCTGTGCCATTGTCCTACAGGCCAAGTCGAGCCAATTGCTGGACACGCCACAAGTTGTTCTGCAGAGTTACCTCCCTCTACTCCCACAACCTACCTTGGCACAAAGATTTGAAAGGGAGGATTGTTTCACAACATACCAACTGTAACATCAACAATCGTGGATTTCCACAAATAGGCAGACATACCTGTTCTGTTAAATGAGACCCTAAATGCCCCAGTTACATCACTGCTGAGGTATCTGATCCCACAGTCACCGACCCCTGCCCTCACTCTTCCCCTACCCCCCACTGACTGAATGACACTGACCTGATTAAAACACTGGAGACACACCCAGATGGTGGTCTCGGTCTCGGTCTCCAGGGTCTCTGGTCCGTCCACTGCTGTGGTCTCCTTGGCAGACCCCTTGTCCCTGCAGCAGGCCTGGAGACAATCATCACATCTTCAACACCCACACTCTGAACACGTTCATGTAACTAATTTCACATCCAACAACCAAAAGGCATTAACAGCATGGAAACTGAATCCTTCCTGTAATCTGACCTTACTGTGTCGTTTACCTCAATGTTGACAATGTTGACATTCGTGCGAGCTCATTGAACCTTAATACAGTCTCCGACGGAGTCCTGTAATGTTTGGTCCTCACTCAATCAAGGTTCATACTCAAATGAATTGACACAAAGTGAAAGTCAGCTTTTCTACTTCATTTCATTTACACTGACGACCATACAACCAGCTGTGTCATGGAAAATGTACTCCTCTAAAACAAGAGATGATATGATTATGAGCATCTTTTCTTAGCCATAAACTATCAAATGTTGCAGTCAACACTTTAATCATCGTAACGATATTGGTATTTACATACCCCACATTCTCCGAAAGTACCAGTGGGCTTAGACACTGCCTTCCTGACCACTGCCATGTTGACGGCCTTGTTGATGTGCGTGCATGTCGCTCCTCCTGCAACAGACAGTGGTTCCCGAATCTGTGACACCTTGACACACTACTACACACATGGATGTACTATCAGACACCTTGATACAGTACTACATACATCGATGTACTATCAAGACACCTTGATACACTACTACACACATGGATGTACTATCAGACACCTCAATACAGTACTACACACATCGATGTACTATCAGTAAGTATCAGACACCTTGATACACTAATACACACATCGATGTACTGTCAGACACCTTGATACACTACTACACACATGGATGTACTATCAGACACCTTGATACACTAATACATACATCGATGTACTATCAGACACCTTTATACACTACTACATACATCGATGTACTATCAGACACCCTTTATACACTACTACATACATCGATGTACTATCAGACACCTTGATACACTACTACACACATGGATGTACTATCAGACACCTTGATACACTAATACATACATCTATGTACTATCAGACACCTTGATACACTACTACACACATGGATGTACTATCACACACCTTGATACACTACTACACACATGGATGTTATATCACACACCTTGATACATTACTATACACACAAACATACTATCAGACACCCTGATACCTGTTACACCCACTATTTTCAGGCACCTCAACCACATCGTGGCCGTGGCTGCATGCCCTTGTCTGTTCATTATGACTGACTGACTGACTGACTGACTGAGTTTGGTTTTACGCTGCTTTTAGCAATATTCCAGCAACATCACGGCGGGGGACACCAGAAATGGGCTTAACACATTGTGCCCATGTGGGGATTCGAACCCGGGTATTCGGCGTGACGAGCCAACGCTTTAACCATTAGGCTACCCCACCGCCCTGTTCATTATGAAATCAATGTTCTACTGGGTTATCCAGTCAATGTGTAATGTGATCTCTATTTGTTGGGTGATTTCTAATATTAAACATGTTAAAACGTGATCCTTAGCAAACTTTGACGTCTTCAATTCTACTTCATCTGATTAACATGAACGTGTTCCATCTTTGTAAGATCAACAGTATTTGTCTTAATACATGGAATATGTATTTAAGAACAATAAAGGCAATTTGAACCACTTGTTACATCGACAGTGCACTCCTAATATTGTGGTCAGTTATACCAGTAAAGAAACAAAATGTTTCCCAGTTCTGGGGAAAAATTCATGACCATTTCTAGATTAATGAGGCTGAAATGTTCCGAGCTTGGTCAGCATAGTTAATTGTCAAGTGGTTTACCTTTGATTATGTTTACATGATTCAACATCTTGTTTATCATGTTCATGGTTTTATTAAGCACCCAATTTGGACATGTTTTAAGAGTCCATGGGACTAACTATAGGGAGTAGGATAATAAACTGAATATTCTCATTGTTGCATTACACAAGGCAACAATATTAACAATACAACACTGATGCAATATTATATAAACTTTTGAATGCTTTCTTTACCAGCTGCTAACAAGACTGACTGACTGACTGAGTTTGGTTTTACGCCTCTTTTAGCAATATTCCAGCTACATCACGGTGGGGGAACACCAGAAATAGGCTTCACACATTGTACCCATGTGGGGATTCGAACCCGGGTCTTCGGAGTGACGAGCCAACGCTTTAACCACTAGGCTACCCCAGCTGCTAACAAGACATAAGAGAAGACATTCTTCTCTATCCCTGTTTGCCAAAGCAGTGAAAGTCTAAAACATTTCATTATCAGTAACTAGTGTAAACCTCTTCAAATATTGCCATTGTTTCTATTACTATCGGTCTACACAACAAACAATTACAGCCCCCAGATTACTGATGATCAGCTTACCTGCTGCACCCTCTTCACTGGAATCGGAGCCACCTCCTTCGTTCTTCTTTCTCAATCTATGCTTTTTACTTTTACCCATTTTGTAGGATGGTGTTGTGTCGGTCTCTACAACTCTCATTGATAATGGTTTGGTGAAACTGTTGGGAGAAGGAGCAACACGATGTGATCCTCTGGTACAGTGGTAAGAATTATTAAATTACCAAACTACTCTTATCTCTAATTTGTCCTTTTCAAAATAAATACTGTCAAAACAGTACAATGTAATGATGACTCATGCCAGTATATCAAACAGTGAATAACTATTCCAGTTCTAAAACAGTAATTTGTGAAGTTATTTTAGGCCACTTACCATTTGAGGGATGCAATAACATGCAACATTTAGAAGCCTCAACAGTGATAACATATGTCTCTCTTATAATGCATGAATTGTAAAATTGTACTAGTCCTCAGGACAACATTAGACAAACCAGAGCCAAAATGCAACATACCTGTGATGCGTCACAAATGACCTGTAAATTTGAGTTAACATTTTCTAGGTGTAATTTGGAGACATAACAAACATTATTGCATTGCATCTGGACAATATTACAATTAAAGATCACAACCATTACAATTGTCAGTATATATGTAAAAATGTACATAGCGCCATGAGCAGGTAATGTGCCTGGATATGAATGCCATATAAGTGGACTATTACTATTACTAATCACCAACACAAAACCTCATTGTCATATGTGTAGTTTTAAATATCCATCATTTTAACATTTCATTACCTACTGTTGTTTGACCAAATGCCTTTCTTGCTGAATTAGATATCATTCCGAATAGAAAGGGTTCTTGTCAGACCAGCTTCCACAGAGAAGAGTATAAAATTTGATTCTAAAGACAACCTTCAGTCACACCAAAAGGGTACATACATACATAAGGGCTGAGAGTAGTATAAGCCTTCTGGAACACTGATACGCAAATCTACCGTGTAATGTGATATAGTCGAACCCTATACCATATAAATAACTCCAGATGTACATTTCAAGCTTTGGTACCGTCAGAAACATGTCTAAAAATAGAAAAGTGTACCCCAACACGAGACAAATTGTAGGACAGTCACTGTGGTAAGTATAGATGAACAATTTAGCGAGGCAACGTGTGTCTGTCAACTGCGAAAACGTTCCACTACTCTACCAAAGACATCTATGATGTCAAATACTTTGTGTGGCTACTGCATCCTTCAGTAGCGTTACGCCGAAGACCTCAGAAAATGAAAGTCGAAAGAGGTTTCAAATACAGTGGAAGGTACCAGCTGCGCTGCCTATTTTAGGAACATAATTTCGGTTTGGCGAGTTTACCCACAGCGCATCACTACCCAACATTCCCAGACTCATGTTTCAAGAATACATACCTTCAGAAAATATTAAAGTATGTAAGAATCCTGGCTGAATGTGTCAGCACATTCACACATCGTGGAAGATGGCGAAACCGGAAGTAGTAAGTATTTCACAATCAAATACGGTTGTCGTAAATGTAATTGTTGCATCGCTAAAATTATATTATATATCTACATTCCTATGACTGTAACCTAGATATATCAAGTTTATACGGGTATCTTTCAATACAATATATCCAGTAGCGTATTACGACAAACGAAGTTATCTCCCTTAGCTCATGTTACCACTATTGTGTGTGGCGTTCTTCATATTCAATCAAAATGTTTGAATCAATAGATTTCGTTGAGTTGATTATGAGTTATCAACGAAGACAATGTCAGTCGTTTACTTAAGCAGATAAAATAGACCATTTGGGGGCTGCAGTTGCGTTCTGATTCACTAAAGTTGTTTGAGTGAGTGAGTGAGTTTAGTTTTACGCCGCACTCAGCAATATTCCAGCTATATGGCGGCGGTCTGTAAATAATCGAGTCTGGACCAGACAATCCAGTGATCAACAGCATGAGCATCGATCTGCGCAACTGGGAACCAATGACATGTGTCAACCAAGTCAGCGAGCCTGACCACCCGATCCCGTTAGTCGCCTCTTACGACAAGCATAGTCGCCTTTTGTGGTAAGCATGGGTTGCTGAAGACTTATTCTACCCCGGATCTTCACGGGTCAAAGTTGTTTGATGCAGGTTACCATGCACATTCAAGGTCTCAGTACAGCTTTCAAAATGTATTGTGGTAGACATATGGAGGACAGTTCAAAATCTGACGCCAAATCAATGTCCAATGCAATTAACTACATTGACTTGTGCAAGATATGTTCCCATGATTTTCATCATGAGACTTTGCATGTATTTGTGACAGGTTACGTCGGTGTGGCAGGATGCGCTAACCTATCCCGCGACCAGCAGGTATCATTACTACCTGACAGCGATCCGACACGTACTCAAATATAGTCGTACTACTGACTCTTCTAGGCAGTGATTTCCTCTGGGGATGCAGAGGGTTTTCTTTCCTTTGTTGTGATCAGAATGCTTCCTGAAGTCAACGTCTTCTGAATGTAGGTGAAGTCTATGCCTTGCTGACTTGCAACAAAGAACGAACGCTTTGTTTGTTTCTAGGTACAGTTATATACCTGGGTGCAGGAGAGGTTTCATAAATTAGCGCAATGCACTAAAAACATTCAAGGCTCAGGATTCTGATTACCCTGTTCGAAAATGAATACCTGTTGCACGTCAGTTATACATGCTCACCAATATAGCCGTGGGTGATTGCACGTACGTAAAACCACTACTGAATAACATTAAATTTTGTCTCACGTAAGATGGCCAACTGTCTTCATCATTCTCATCTATTACACGGAGGACAACGTAACTTTGGAATATTAGGAGTACTGCATTGCATTCTTCCGAAAAAAGATAATCGTACATAATTATATCATTCTTTGCATATTTATAGACAATGACGTCCAGTTTCTCCCCCAACAGTTTTATCAGCTTCACATTTTACCATTTCACGAAGACGTTTTTAAATCGCATGCTAGCATGCCCTCAGCGCGTCATGAAATACCATACCAAATATTTTACAACCATAAATTAACATTTCAGCGATTTACTATCTAATATTTTGCAAAAAGCTGAAAATCTATATATTTGTCTTACTGAACAAATGACATGTCAGCTTGTCGTGCTTTCCATGCAGCAGGTTAACGGCCTGACGTGCCGAGAGTAGACCCGGAGTATATATGTAGGCGTTCTGAGTAGGAGTGGTGTTGAATTTGCGAGACACGAATGTGTGTATATATATACGATTATCAATATACTGCTCTACGTAAGTGTAGGAATATCGAGTACTAGTATTTGACATCTATAGAAAGTTTTCTGAGGTTGAGGAATGTAATTGTTACCACAGGACAGTCAGGGTTAACGTCAAACAGTGGGATGACATTCTCCTGACCCTTGTGGTCAAAGGTCGGAATCACTGTCCCATAGACCATCATGCAGGACGACATCACATACTGTTGACTGAAACACAGGTAGAGTGGCAGCAGAATAGAGACCCACCGTGCTGTGTAATGGAACATCGGGGGGACGTTCTCGGGAGAAATCAGGCACGTAACCATCTCTACCTGTAGTTTGCTCAGTATGAGAGTGACAGTTTTTATTTAGTTGTTCCTCATTGCCCGACCGACTGTAAGTCAGCCGCCGATCAGAAAATCAAATCCAATCATCGAAATCAAACCCCACCGACTGCTGATTCTTGCCTGCTATCATCCTATAGTGGAGAGTGATCGTAACGTATACCCTGGAGATTATCGAGGATAGCCTGCTATAGGTGGAGGTGAGCACTGGGCAGTAACATTCTTCTTTGACATTTCATTTATTAACACACTATCACATATGAAAGCGCAAAGAAACCCAGATGTCTACCTTTGTGAGAGCAACATGTGATTCAATCTGTTTTAACGTTCTCTTTTTGCTTTAGCCTGCTGCTTTTGCTTGCAAAATGAATAATGTCTTATTAAGGGGAGGGCCCTTCTCTTCCAGATTCCCAAACCCACTCCCAAACAACCAAAATAAATCAGAAGCAAAGTTACCGATGTTTTTGTCTTCTTCTCATGTTATATATTTAAATCGACCGACCAACCCAACCTAAGGTCACGTTGGCTTCGTGAAACACACAAAACAGAAACGCTGCCATAATAACTATGGCTGTATAACGTACCAAGAGGGGTCACTTTCAAGATTCTGACATACACTCCTCAATAAATCACACAAGTGTCAATAACCGAGCACAGTGTCAATATCTGGTGTAACCTCCGCCAACAGCAATAACATCCCTGACTGAATCAGACGTTGACGTTAAGGTATTACGTTCCAACTCTTGATCGAGGGCTTGTTTCAGTACATCAAGATTTTGTAACGGAAATAGTCTCCATGAGACCTGGGCTGGCGAAGGTACCACCGCTTCTTGACGGCAGACATCACCAATGACACTTACACTTAGGTCTTGCATCGTCGTCCACGAAGAGGACGGTCATCGAACGTGAGTTTAGCCTTCTGTCATGAACAAAACAAATAGACTTTAGTCTGACCAGTGAACCATTCCCCGTGACGTCGAGCTGTTGGGATAACAACGGCCCTGTGATAGGTCGTCTGGTTCTATATTTCAGGCGATTTCGGACCGCTACTTGACATGAACGGGTGAAGTCTGTTGGTACTGAGAAAGGCTGTATCCTCGCTGGGAGTTGTCACTCGTAGTCCACCTGAACGCTGACGGTCTTCAGTGTCATTAGTTTGCTGATACTCTTGTCAATCGGCAGGTAGTCACTGTATGAAGACATTTCTCAGCATATCACATACAAATAACGTGCCATCTTTGAGCAGTTGTCAGCTGAGGAGGCCCCATAGTTGCTGATCAATCACGGAATCAACATTTTCCAGGTCATCGAGCGTTATAACGACGGTGCATGTATTGCACGTGATGCTCGCCTTTGATCGCATCACATATCTAAAATCAAAGATTGGTGCGCCCGAAAGGCCAAAATAATCATATTTATGATAGGAATATAAATGGCTACATGGGGGTTAAGGATCATAGGTGTTGCGATACGTTGGGTTGTCAAATTTGTAAACCAAGAAAGATACAAAAGGATGCCATTGTACATATAGTTTCACGAACATACATCACACTGGTTCCTTGCAATAAATATGAACAGACATGTGATCAAGATAAAATAGCATGGCCTTGACCTAATATTGACCAGATACGGACCCCTAACCACACACATGACCAGTCCAGGCCAATCTGCACAGGTAACAACCTCGTGTGCATTCAGAACTAGGCAGCAGAGGAACAAGACAAGAGCATAAATACAGAAGGTTTATTGACCTTTCATTTCAAGATGGCGATGCAGACAAATACATGAACTTGGTATTAACACAATATAACTGGAATGACAACAACATGTGTAGCAGTCCAGCATTGTTCCCGACCGCCCTTGCCCCGAACCTGTCTGTGTTCTGCCTCACTCCATATGAAGCTGTGCGTATTCACATCATCATTAACACTACAGGCCGACGGATGAAGGTAATTTATATAAGTATTATGGTTCATTGTTGAAAATACACCTTTTCCTGCAGAAATACCCAGGAATATTTAGTTGGTATCAACTATACTGATACAATTAATATTATTACACCTTAAGAATATTTAAGAAGCCAACTTTTATGACAGTATTTTGTCTATCAACAGCTGTACAATTGGAAAATGTCAGATATTTATGCAACAGATTACACTCCCAAACAAATCTTTTGACACTAATGGGAGGTTAAGTGTCCTGTGAAATGCTGTAGGTAATGCTCTGACATGTTATTATCCTGTTTCGGTCAATATATCTATCCTGACATTCCCAATTAAAGACAGCCCCAACTTGTCTGCAGGAGGCAGTATGGCAGTTACTGTCAGACAAGTGTCACAATGCAGTCCTGCCATCAGCATCCAGAGACGGCCTCGACGGGAGCCATGCTACACATGATGTTGGAGTGACGATGATGTGTTGTGTGGAGCTATGTGAGGATGTCGTGGGCTCGCACCTCTACCAGTCGCTCCATCTGTTTGACATCCTCACACCACTGGTCCAGGCGTGTCTTCATACCACAGATCTGAAACACAGGAACACAGCAGTGCAGGGCCGAGTTCTATTGTCCACTGGAACATTTACCTCCCTGTTGTCTGGAGCTGTCATAATGTAGTGTCATGTCTGTGAAACTTTGTATGTAATTCAACTGTGAGATGTATAGATGAGATGTTTCGTGTTTAACATCTCACTCAGTGATACGCCATTTAGCTGGAATTTAGCTGAATATTGCTGAGTGCAGCGTTAAAACACCAAACAAACAAAAAGAAATCCCAAAATACAAAATGTGCCACAAAGCTTCCCTTGACATATGTAGAACTTTGAACACAGCTTGATTATTGTGATATTTTATGATTGTGATATTTTAAGAAGACAATATTTATCTCACCTGCGATATGTCTAGAACACGAGGTTGCACCCAGGTCATATGAACTTTGCTGTCGACTTCATCTATTGATCCTTTCACAAGTCCCAGACTCAGTGCCTTCATCACCAGCATCTCAACCTGGAGGAAAAGGGCACATGTTACCATGGTTTCAGTAATTTCATGTGCTTGTCTAATTACATGTCCTCCATTTATATAAGTTTACATACATGTACCTACACAGATGGCAACAAGGGAGACGTAACATCATTGAGAGCTACATGTGTACAGTTATTGGAGGGGAACAAGGGAGCAAAGGAGAAGTGTCAGGGCTGACCTCATTGAGAGCTACACATGTGTATAGTTATTGGAGGGGAACAAGGGAGCAAAGGAGAAGTGTCAGGGCTGACCTCATTGAGAGCTACACATGTGTATAGTTATTGAAGGTGAACAAGGGAGAAGTGTCAGGGCTGACCTCATTGAGAGCTACACATGTGTATAGTTATTGGAGGGGAACAAGGGAGAAGTGTCAGGGCTGACCTCATTGAGAGCTACACATGTGTACAGTTATTGGAGGGGAACAAGGGAGCAAAGTGAGTGAGTGAGTGAGTTTAGTTTTACGCCGCACTCAGCAATATTCCAGCTATATGGCGGCGGTCTGTAAATAATCGAGTCTGGACCAGACAATCCAGTGATCAACAGCATGAGCATCGATCTGCGCAATTGGGAACCGATGACATTTGTCAACTCAAGGGAGCAAAGGAGAAGTGTCAGGGCTGACCTCATTGAGAGCTACACATGTGTATAGTTATTGAAGGTGAACAAGGGAGAAGTGTCAGGGCTGACCTCATTGAGAGCTACACATGTGTATAGTTATTGGAGGGGAACAAGGGAGAAGTGTCAGGGCTGACCTCATTGAGAGCTACGATTGTGTATAGTTACTGGAGGGGAACAAGGGAGAAGTGTCAGGGCTGACCTCATTGAGAGCTACGATTGTGTATAGTTACTGGAGGGGAACAAAGGAGAAGTGTCAGGGCTGACATCATTGAGAACTACACATGTGTATAGTTATTGGAGGGGAACAAGGGAGAAGTGTCAGGGCTGAACTCATTGAGAGCTACGATTGTGTATAGTTACTGGAGGGGAACAAGGGAGAAGTGTCAGGGCTGACCTCATTGTGAGCTACGATTGTGTATAGTTACTGGAGGGGAACAAAGGAGAAGTGTCAGGGCTGACCTCATTGAGAGCTACACATGTGTATAGTTATTGGAGGGGAACAAGGGAGAAGTGTCAGGGCTGACCTCATTGAGAGCTACACATGTGCATAGTTATTGGAGGTGAACAAAGGAGAAGTGTCAGGGCTGACCTCATTGAGAACTACACATGTGCATAGTTATTGGAGGTGAACAAAGGAGAAGTGTCAGGGCTGACCTCATTGAGAGCTACACATGTGTATAGTTATTGGAGGGGAACAAGGGAGAAGTGTCAGAGCTGACCTCATTGAGAGCTACACATGTGTATAGTTATTGGAGGGGAACAAGGGAGAAGTGTCAGGGCTGACCTCATTGAGAGCTACACATGTGTATAGTTACTGGAGGGGAACAAGGGAGAAGTGTCAGGGCTGACCTCATTGAGAGCTACGATTGTGTATAGTTACTGGAGGGGAACAAGGGAGAAGTGTCAGGGCTGACCTCATTGTGAGCTACGATTGTGTATAGTTACTGGAGGGGAACAAGGGAGAAGTGTCAGGGCTGACCTCATTGTGAGCTACACATGTGTATAGTTACTGGAGGGGAACAAGGGAGAAGTGTTAGGGCTGACCTCATTGTGAGCTACACATGTGTATAGTTACTGGAGGGGAACAAGGGAGAAGTGTCAGGGCTGACCTCATTGTGAGAGCTACGATTGTGTATAGTTACTGGAGGGGAACAAAGGAGAAGTGTCAGGGCTGACATCATTGAGAACTACATTGTGTATAGTTATTGGAGGGGAACAAGGGAGAAGTGTCAGGGCTGACCTCATTGAGAGCTACGATTGTGTATAGTTACTGGAGGGGAACAAGGGAGAAGTGTCAGGGCTGACCTCATTGTGAGCTACGATTGTGTATAGTTACTGGAGGGGAACAAGGGAGAAGTGTCAGGGCTGACCTCATTGAGAGCTACATTGTGTATAGTTACTGGAGGGGAACAAGGGAGAAGTGTCAGGGCTGACCTCATTGTGAGCTACGATTGTGTATAGTTACTGGAGGGGAACAAAGGAGAAGTGTCAGGGCTGACCTCATTGAGAGGAACCTTGGCCTCTTGTGCAATCTCAGCGAATGTCATCTGCCTGTTTGTGGCTGGCCGCCTGAATGTGATCTGAAACAACAAGCCAATCAGTGACTCAAAACCATGAGGGCCACAGAACATACACAAGGAAGTTTTCTTGTGCTTGACATCACACTACAGGAAATAGGGTGGAACAAAATTGTTACACTACAGTTAAAACACAAGTCCAATGTTCTAGATACAAATGTAAAACCACAAGGGCATTTCCAGAGCTTGAGGTTTTACATTTTCAACCAACACCTCCGAATGGTGTTCTAACACTCATATGACCGGTCTCAATCCATGAAATACCATAAAGAGTGAAAAACCCACTCTTCCATTAAGTTAGAAGGTTAATGGCTACTGTTTGAAGTATCTCCAATGATGTTAATCACTTTAGGATTACAGATAGTCTTCAATCCTAATAATATCTCTGCCAAAGCCATGTGCCACTGCACCAGTATTTATTTGATGTATTGTCAGAGCCACTATGCGAGTTTAATAGTTACGCCAACAAGCCTGGGAGTGACGTACCTCCATCAGACAGAGAAGGGATATTTTCTGTCTCATGCTGACTTCATGAGCTGCCAGATCAGCCTGTAACACAAGAACACAATGTTACACCCCTCACACAAGTTGATGTTAGACCTCTCACACAAGTTGATGTTACACCTCTCACACAAGTTGATGTATCACCTCTCACACAACACACAAGCTGATGTTACACCTCTCACACAACACACAAGCTGATGTTACACCTCTCACACAAGTTGATGTCACACCTCTCACACAGGTTGATGTTACACCCCCCATACAACACACACAACTTACACCTCCCACACAGCTTCATGAAACACCTCTCACACAACTGTATGTTACATCTCTCACACAACTTGAAGTTACACCTCCCACACAACTTCATGAAACACCTACCACACAACTGTATGCTACATCTCTCACACAAGTCGATGTTACACCTCTCACACACGTTGATGTCACACCTCTCACACAAGTTGATGTTACACCTCTCACACAACACACAAGTTGATGTTACACCTCACACAACACAAAAGCTGATGTTTCACCTCTCACACAAGCTGATGTTACACCTCTCACACAATACACAAGTTGATGTTACACCTCTAACACAACACACAAGCTGATGTTACACCTCTCACACAACACACAAGCTGATGTTACACCTCTCACACAAAACACAAGCTGATGTTACACCTCTCACAACACACAAGCTGATGTTACACCTTTCACACAACCGATCTCACACAACAAACAAGTTGATGTTACACCTCTCACACAACACACAAGCTGATGTTACACCTCTCACAACACACAAGTTGATGTTACACCTCTCACACAACACACAAGCTGATGTTACACCTCTCACACAACACACAAGCTGATGTTACACCTCTCACAACACACAAGCTGATGTTACACCTCTCACACAACCTGATCTCACACAACACACAAGTTGATGTTACACCTCTCACACAACACACAAGCTGATGGTACACCTCTCACAACACACAAGCTGATGTTACACCTCTCACACAACCTGATCTTACACAACACACAAGCTGATGTTACACCTCTCACAAAACACACAAGCTGATGGTACACCTCTCACAACACACAAGTTGATGTTACACCTCTCACACAACCTGATCTTACATAACACACAAGTTGATGTTACACCTCTCACACAACATACAATTTGATGTTACACCTCTCACACAACACACAAGTTGATGTTACACCTCTCACACAACACACAAGCTGATGTTACACCTCTCGCAACACACAAGCTGATGTTACACCTCTCACACAACACACAAGCTGATGTTACACCTCTCACACAACACAAAAGTTGATGTTACACCTCTTATACAACACACAAGTTGATGTTACACCTCTCACACAACACACAAGCTGATGGTACACCTCTCACAACACACACAAGTTGATGTTACACCTCTTATACAACACACAAGCTGATGTTACACCTCTCACACAACACACAAGCTGATGGTACACCTCTCACAACACACAAGCTGATGTTACACCTCTCACACAACCTGATCTCATACAACACACAAGCTGATCTTACACAACACACTAGTTGATGTTACACCTCTCACACAAGTTGATGTCACACCTCTCATACAACACACAAGCTGATGTTACACCTCTCACACAAGTTGATGTCACACCTCTCACACAACACACACAACTTACACCTCTCACACTTCATGAAACACCTCTCACACAACTGTATGTTACATCTCTCACACAACTTGATATTACACCTCTCACACAACTTTATGTTACATCTCTCACACAACTTGATGTTACACCTCTAACACAACTGGATGTTACACCTCTCACACAACCTGATCTTACACAACACAGAAGCTGATGTTACACCTCTCACACAACACACAAGTTGATGTTACATCTCTCAAGCAACACACAAGCTGATGTTACACCTCTCACAACACACAAGTTGATGTTACACCTCTCACACAACTGGATGTAACATCTCTCACACAACACACAACTTGATGTTACACCTCTCACCCAACACATACAACTTACACCTCTCACGCACCACACAAGTTGATGTTACACCTCACTTAACACATACAAGTTGATATTACACCTCTCACACAACACATAGAACCATGCCTATACTTCTCTAACAAAACACACAAAAATTTGTCATTACATCTCTAACACAAATATACATACAATAAATGAGTTTAGGAATCCAGATGAAATAAGATCATTTTGCAATCGGAACCGGACACCATATTTATATGTTTCCGGAAAGGAAACTGGAGACATAATCATTTATGTGCTATTTCTGTCTGCTACGATAAATTTTGTTATGAGTACCTTTTGACCTTCTTTGATTACTTAACCAATACTGACACTGTTCGTCTTGATGTCTGTTGAAGTTAAACTGTTTTTGAGTCCCATGAAGAATATGAAACACACATACCTGTGTCTGCCACTGTTTCTTGAGGTCATCAAACTTGGCAATGTTTCCACTGTTGAAGGCAAACAGAAGATCTACCAGCCAGCTTCGCTCGGTACCTTTCAGTGTCTCCAGGATGGGGTGAGCTAGCTGAAACACACCAACACTTCTCACTGATCAAACTCATAATGGAGAACAAAATACCTCACAGTTAAACTGAATACCTTGAATCTCAATGAGAGACGAAACAGTCAGGTCAGTGGATGTACTTACTGACCCACAGGGAGAAATGACCAGGTGACCCAGGATGTTTAATATCAAAACCAAAGTTTGTGTAGAATCCTAGGACTGGTCTTGCAGAATGATGCGGCTGCTGTAAGAGGTGAAATAGCCATCAGACTGCAGGTGATAACTCATCAGAGATCAAGTCCCTGCTAAGCATCTGACAAATGTTGTCTGAGACCCTGACACACATGAGTGTAGTGGAACTCACCAGTTCTCCGAAATTGTAAACTCCATCCCCCAAGATGGCCGCCAGCCCAAGATTGAAGGCTCTCTCAACCTGCTCCCCTGCTGTAACAAGCAAACAACTAATTGATAACAACAACAACAACAACAACAAGTGTTTGCCACTAATATGGCCAAGTCCCCTGCTGCTAAAGAAGAATGAAATATCTATAACATATTTACTACTTTTTATTTTTTGGTCACATACAAGATGCCTGAAATGACTGGTGTTTGCATAATCACCCAATGTAGGCTGTCAACATACTTGAAAACATTGGGTGCAATGTTTTATGAGATATCGTCTTTAAAAAGCGGTCAAAGTATAGTGGTGACCTTGAAGATAAGGTCAAGGTCACACAAATAAACTGGTGTCTGTGTAATCCCCCAATGTAAACTGTCACCAAATTTGAAGACATTGGGTACAACAGTCCATGAGATATCGCATTAACAAGAGTTAAAAGTGTGAAAAGTGCTGTGGTGACCTTGAAGATAAGGTCATGGTCACCCAAAATCAACTGGTGTCTGCGTAATCCCCCAATGTATGCTGTCACCAAATTTGAAGACATTGGGTACAACAGTCCATGAGATGCCGTGTTAAGAAGAGTTTGAAAGTGTTCAAAGTGTCGTGGTGACCTTGAAATAAGGTCACGGTCACCTAAATACACTGGTGTCTGTGAAATCCCCCAATGTAGGCTGTCACCAAATTTGAAGACATTGGGTACAACAGTCCATGTAATATCACGTTAACAAAAGTAAAAAGCGTGCAAAGTGTCATGGTGACCTTGAAGATAAGGTCAAGGTCACCAAAATAAACTGGTGTCTCTGTAATCCCCCAATGTAGGCAGTCACCAAATTTGAAGAGACTGGGTACAACAGTGCATGAGATATCACGTTAACAACAGTTTGAAAAGTGGTCAGTGTCGTGGTGACCTTGAAAATAAGGTCAAGGTCACCCAAATAGACTGGTGTCTGCGGAAATCCCCCAATGAAGGCTGTCACCAAATTTGAAGACATTGGGTACAACAGTTCATGAGCTATCGCGTTAACAAGAATCGGGGCGTACGGACGGACACCGCTGAATACATAGTCCCCCGTTCCGCTGGAGGACAACAACAACACGTCTAACCATTCAAACAACCATAGCTTCTTCTACATATGGGTCTGTTATCAATATGGGAGCCAGTGAAAGTTCCAAACATATCTCTATAATTACTACCGCCATCAATAAGAAATGCCCAGGTACAGTTACAGTTCACACAAATAGCCTTCAATACTCTGTATCACAAAACAGTTTGCTAGAACTGGTGACTACTAACGGGGGGTGATGAACTTACCTGCTATATCTGCCAGGTCGGTGCAGCCGAGGTAGCGCAGTGCCTCCTTGTAGTAGTCAGCGTGGTTCCCCATCAGTTTGTGGTAGTTACTGGACAGTTCATAGAAGCGACTGTGGACCGATGTCACACCGTGCAAAGCATCCAAGATACCCTTGCATTCCTCCACTAACACCTGTATAATTGGTAACTTATAGTAGAATCAGGCTGTCTAGTTTTGAGACTGGGACTGTTTACAAAACAAACAAAGAATTACACTGTTCACTGACAAAATGTTTTCAATGGAGTAAAAGCACGGGACACAGGCTGTGTACACAGACATATCTCAGATTCTCTCCACTACATACACATCTTTTAAGTTGGTTGGTTTTTTAGTTGTTTAATGCAGCGCTCAGCAATATTCCAGCTACATGGCAGCAATCTTTAAATAATCGAGTCTGGTGATCAACAGCATGAAAATGATGAACATCGACCTACACAATTGGGATATGATGACATGTGTCAACAAAGTCAGCGAGTCTGACCACCTGATCCCGTTAGCCACCTCTCATGACAAGCATGGATTAATGAAGATCAATTCTAACCTGGATCTTCATGGGTTCACATCTTGTAAGAAACTTTACATCATCATCAGATTAATCTGTTTTAAAAAATTCAGTGTCCTGCTCTTTGCAAACTTTTAGTAATTACATGAGGACTATTATATATACTATTAGTCAAGATAATCATGTGTGACCCTACCTTGGTGCCGTCAAAGTCTTTGTTCCTCAGTTTGACCATGCCCATGGTTGTGATACACAGAACCTTGGCCTCGTCACTGCTCTTCACCTGGAATACATACACCAACACAGGTCAACACACAGTGCCATCACGTTCACACCAGCATCTCATTTAGTGGGAAACAATCTAGAACCATAGCACATAGTTTGTTGATATTTTGTGTTTTTGATGTCTTATTCATGTACAGGGGCCACCAGCCCATTATACAGGTAGAGCAGGCTAATGACTACTTTGACAGGAGTGCTGAGTACAAACAACATAAAAATATAAAGATTTTACCAAGAGTTGGGAACATGTGATAATATCGTGGAATAAGACTGGAGCACAAATCTGAATGGGCATAATGGACAAAAGTGGAATTCATCTTCAACATTGTTGATAATACACAATGGCCAAAAATGTCTTCGTCTTGGTAATTCGTGAGATCTGTCCTGTTTCTACCAAACACTAACAACACAGTGGCTCATCTACAAACACAACAATAATGTTAGATAGCTACCTTGTCTTTGATTTTCTCCAGAAATTCTATAGCTGCTTTTGCATCTGCAACAAAAAAAGCCTCTCTTTAATCTCGGGGTGTGACAATGAGTGTAGAGAAGGAGTATGGTCATTACCAAGTTCAGCAACATCTTTTTGATGACAGTTGACTGTACATACATATCGATGTACAGGAGTGAGTGTTGTTTAACAACTCAGCAATGTTGTTGTTAACAACTAAGTATCAACCAGGCACATATTCTGACTCGGGCTCACCACAGGAGTAAAGGTATAACGTGCATGTTGACAGCAAAAACAGAGACAGTCAGTTCTAACAGATGATAAATATGCATACCTGTTATCTGGCGCACAATGTAGATAGAGATCTCCATGAGAGCCAGGGGGTTGATCCTGAAACAAAGAAAAAAGTGACTCAACACAGCTGTACTCCGTGCTGAGTTTTCAAGTGTTAAGTGTTCTGCTATGACAGGGTGTATGGATCGTATCCATACTTTAACACAGCCATTGGTAAGGCGAGCTACTACTTTAACCCTTTGGCTATAAGCAGACCTCTAAAGTTGGTTGGTTGATTTGTTGTTTAACGCTGCACTCAGAAATATACCAGCTACATGGCGATGGTCTGTAAATAATCATGTCTAGACCAGACAATCCAGTGATTAACAGCATGAGCATCAATCTACACAACTAGGATATGATGACATATGTCAACTACGTCAGCGAGTCTGACCACCCGATCCCGTTAGTCACCTCTTACGACAAACATATGTTACTGAAGATCAACCTGGATCTTCATGGGTAAACAGCTAAAGACTATCAAATGTACCACTTACTATGCTAACACTCAACAATATGAAGATCAAAAACAACAGGGAATTTTCATGAAACTGTTATATTCATATCCTCTGAACCCTCCAAAAGCCCAAGTATAACACGGTTAACCGAACTTCTAGGAATGCATCTGAATTTCAAAAAGATTAACAAAAATCTTCTTACCTGTGTTCAAAATCAGCAAGGAAGTTTTCATACAGCTGAAAATAAACACAAGTGGTGGTTATTATGCACAATACAACATCGTGATTGAACAACCCAATACACAATGGCTGGGTCGTCATTTACATCACTCCTCTGAACATGCTCAACTTGCGACATTGTATTCGGGATATACACTACTGTTACTGACACGTCACCAAGCTGTCGGACATGTGGTACACTTCTAAGTCTACATTCCACAACAAAGTTTATAGGTTAGGTGAAATGAGGTTTAACGTCGTACTTGAGAATATTTCTCTCATATGACGATGTGTATGCGTGTGTATGTGTGGCTGCTTGTACTAGCCCAGATTTAAGCTGGTTTCATGGTGCAAGCTCACTGAAATACCATGCCACAGTTAAGCATGAATACCCCACTCAAACACATTATACCGACCATTAATGCCGACACCAAGTACCATATTTTAACGTCTCTTGGTATGACGTGGCTGGGGATCGAACCCGCGACCTTCTGCTCTCTGGGCGGAGGCTCTAACCACTACACCACGGAGGCAGTCCAGAAAGATCATAAAACTACATGAGAGTTTCAAGGTCAATGTGGCCGAAGACACTTCATTGTCCACCATTGTTTATAGTGGATGAACTATAGTCATTCAATACAGCAAAGCCTCAAACAAAATCAAATAAAACCTTGGCCTTTTCATAATCAGTAAAACTTGCATACCCGTAACAGCCCATCTCCTTTGGTGAAGATCGGATTCTTTACAAATTCCAGGAGTTTCAAGGTCAACTGATGCCACAGTCTGCAGAAGAGAAATATAATGAACATCTCGATAATGGCAATGCTGATGGTTCAAAGCTGGGACGGTAACAGGACAATTCGTACCTTCAGAGATTTATACCCAAACCTTTTTGGCGGACAATGTACCCAAATGTTGGACAACCTGTACCCACTCGTCCCTAAACAACTGGATGATTCGTACCAAAAAAAGTGAATGGCAACACAGTGAAAATATATTTGAAATGTGATTATTTTTCTACTAAACTGCATCATTGACCCTAATGAAACTATAGTAGAATAGCGACGACCTTTAATTTTAGTGTCCCTTATTGATGTTTGAGACGTGTAACATAGTGATTTATGAATTAACAGATTAAAAACCCAAAAAGTTGTTTTGTAATTGCAGTCATTTATGAAAAGTATCTGTTCATATAGGGCTGCAACGAATACACTACACTATGTGGCGAATATGATACGTATCATGAATATTGGGTAACGAATACGAATAGTTATTTACGAATACAGTATTGTAGTTAAGTGATTGATGTACAATATGGAACGCCCATGTTGACAGTTTTGATTTGTCACAGCAATAACCAGTGATCTCATGACACTCAAATTTGGTATGTAATAGTTATAGTCGACAGTACCATGTGCGGCCTTGGCAAAATAACATGACTTGTGCTACTGCAAGGCTAGTACATATTCAATCCTTGCATATCTCACTTTCCAAAAGTACACAAGGGTTCAAGTAAAACATGCTCCCTTAAAAAATTGTAAATATCCATTAATTCTGGTGACCACGAATAACGAATTGAATTCATGAAGGGCTACGGTTCGATTCACCGAATATGCGAGTGAATCGTTACAGCCTTACTGTTCAACCACAGCATGTTTGAATGAAAAATCATAATGCGGAAATGTTTTTGCTTGTGAAAGAATAATGCTAAGCATAAATTGTTACCACACATCTGAATAAAATAATAAATCTTTTGTCATTTAATACAGTCTTGACCTGTTAATACAATCTGATTTTGGCCATGATATACATGGGGACAAGCCATCTAATCTGGGTATGATTCAGAATCTGTGTACGAGTCATACAAATTTGGACAAGGGTCATCCAAATTTGGGTACAGGTTGGCCAAAAAAGGTACCAGTTGTCCAAAATGAGTAGAAATCTGATGAGAACTTAAGGTACGACTAAGCCATTGATGTTGGGTATGAATCTCTGTGGTTTCGGATCATCTAGTATCCACTGGGACATGTGTTTATCTTGTAAATAATGTGAACTTCATTAAACATAGCTACAATCAGCTGACAGAGACGTGTTATATGGGTTATAATGCAGGGTAATCCAAGCCTTATCTGGGAGTTCTGTGCAAAATAGATATACAATTACAACTTTCTCTTGGTGATTTGTCTGAAGTAATGGCTGTGATAAATAAATCATAGAAAGTACACTAAGAATTCAAATTTCCAAAACACATTTTCGAAGCTTCAAACAAAAATCTTGAGTATGCAATGACAAGATACCTCAAATATAAACGTCTTTACATATCATGTGTTTTGCTCATCCACCCAATGAGCCCTTCTAAAGTTGGCCAAATCCAGGTAGTATCAGTAAATGGACAGCTGATGGATGTCTTGGGTACGAGCCCAAAATCAAACAGACCCAACTCATTAATCAGGACACCAATCTAAACATGTAACATCGAACTGCAATGAAGTTTAGAATTCCGAACTTCCCACGATATGCTACATGTGTACGAAAAAGCCGGTGCTTCGAAAATAATGACGGAACAAAGAAAACATTGAGAGTGTGTAAGAGATCTGATCCTCCAGTCACTTAATCTTACTTTTTATTATACAGTTCTTCAAGCTCTCCCCATTCTGTAGCAACATCGCCGCTGCTTTTACGCTGTTGTTCGGCTAAGAATGCTCCGACGTCCCTCGGCATGTTGATCAACTCGAAGCGTGAATAGCAGATTTGGTTGATAAAGTATTTGATAGACAACTATTTCACAATGTTAACGGACTTTAACATTTTCTTTCCTATTTCAGTAATTTTGTGCAATAAGGATTTTAAACTAGATTATATTGATAGTACTTGCAGACTGGTACTATTTCCGATACAACAACTCAGTGCAACATACCCGAATATATATATTTCTTTCTTGCTAATATGATGAGCCGTTTTACAAGTAATGGTACTTTTGCGACTTCACGGAAGAGTGTTTAAAGGGAGGTCACTCTCCAAATGACAAGGAAAAGAAGCATTCGTAACTACTCGTGTCATTCCGGCAAGCCGGACGGCGTGTAGGTCACGGAAAGAGGCGAGTAGTTACGATTGGGAAAAGAAGCAGTTGTAAAAGCTTCGTTCGTCAATCGGTTTTGTGACTCGAATGCAGCTTGGTGCTATCAGGGATAACCTACAGCTTCTATATACGTCTTCTATTCTCCCTGGTGCTACTCAAAAGCGCTTTGTATATAAGAGACGTTGATGATTTTGTGTATGTAATGCATATGGACTTGAAGAAATCACATATATGACACTCTGTGCTGCATACAAAGAGTTGTTTTCCCGTATTAGCTACAGGTATAATTGTTGTGTTTTAGCTCTTAACTGTGCAGCGTTTCGGCCTAGAAGGCTAAACCTTGTGACAACTGTAATTATTTAACTTATTTGTTTTCTAACAGTGGAATTTACCTTATGACACAGAGGTACACTAATTTCTCTACTGGAGGATGTATGGATGAGTTGTTTGAGTGTCATTCTAGAAGTTGGTAGTATAGAGATGATCAAAAGTTGATCCTCCATAAAGTTTTGTCATCTCTGTATGGATGAGGTCCATGATCAGAAGCTTGGCGGGGTGTATCAGTTATAGACACTTATTTATATCAAATGGGTTTATGAGATGCTTGTGAGCAGTATGTCATGGGAATGGTTAAACTGATAAACCCGAAGGCATAAACAGGAGAGAAGTTAAGTCTCTCTTACCGGCACTCATATCACGATGCCTATCGTGATAGGAAATGCGTTTTCCCTTTGTGTGGAAACTGCACGATCTGTAACGTGTCACTCTCACCCATGGTCTGCCCTATGGCCATGCGGCTCGAGGTGTAGGGAAATTGGGCTGAACATCGCTTGCACTGAATTTTTGATATTCTTCAGATTTTTCATTTACAGCACAACGGAGATGAATATAAATTCTGTGTCCAGAAGTATGTGATGATGGTGTAAAGAGTGATTAGTTTCATTTCTGGAAAATATGTGTTAATGGTGGAATAGCTTGTTTGGTTGTACCCAACAAATAAATAGATATGTGGATATAGCTTGGGAACAATGGATGGTTCTAACACTACTCCCGTCTTCGTCCATGGTCGGAGGCCACGAACCATGCTCGATTATCCAGTGTGTATGGTCTTTACTTTTTAAGAATTCAGACATAGCGTGCTGGAGTATCGGGGCCAATATGTGGAAATCAAATGTATCCTTGGGGGGACATGGGAAATGGATATGTTACATGCATGTTTGTAAATACAAAATGTCATTTAGTCATTATGTCAGATGTAACATATGTTATACTAAGGATAACACTTTCTCAGTAAAGTACAGATTCTGGTACTTTCTTTTTCCATCGGGGATTCGAGCCCACAATCTCAGAGTCAGACACCCAGCACACAAAGTCAGCGATCTAACCCACTCAGCCACATGGACGCCGCGATGGGACCTAACAAAAGTACGAGAATATGTACTTTTCCGAGAAAGTGTAGTCCCAAATATAACATATGTTTCGTGTAAGAAGTGTATGGATTTGATTTGATTGGAAAGCAGTGGGGACCGTGCAGCAGTGAGGCTTTTCGTGCATAGCAGTTAATATTTGACGTATTACAGTTAACAAAGTACCGGAACACTTCCTCTCGCAGGCTGTCTAGGGACGGTTGCTGGTGTTGTAAACATGACGTCCTCCAAAGGTGAAGTTTGGAAAAATGCCAATTGATGTAACAACTACATGTATTAAGACTTTCATGCTAACAAATCACAGACAGGAAAACGAATGACAACTTAAATTTTATTGAGCTAAAAGAACAAAACCATACAGTACACTCATTTGACAGGAGCATATGAGCAAGAAAGCGGTTAAATGGTTCAACAATATTGCAGACTTAACATGTAGTACATGGCTCAAGCACATTAAACATGTACACACACATTCGAATATGACACATCGATCTTCATATACGACATTGTTAAAGTATAAACATCGATCTTCATATACGACATTGTTAAAGTATAAACAAGTGCTGTCGACTGTTATAAGGTGTATTGTCCGGGCGCTAATGACGTTAAACTGGGTGTAGGTGCTTTTGGTAGGGTGCTGTGTCTACTGACGTTATACAACTGGTGTAGGGTGCTGTCCGGTGCTACTGACGTTATACAACTGGTGTAGGGTGCTGTCCGGTGCTACTGACGTTATACAACTGGTGTAGGGTACTGTCCGGTGAACACTACTGACGTTATACAACTGGTGTAGGGTGCTGTCCGGTGCTACTGACGTACAACTGGTGTACTGTCCGGTTACTGACGTTACACAACTGGTGTAGGGTGCTGTCCGGTATACACACTGGTGTAGGGTGCTGTACTACTGACGTTATACAACTGGTGTAGGGTGCTGTCCGGTGCTACTGACGTACAACTTGGTCTAGGGTGCTACTGACGTTATACAACTGGTGTAGGGTGCTGTCCGGTGCTACTGACGTTATACAACTGGTGTAGGGTGCTGTCCGGTGCTACTGACGTTATACAACTGGTGTAGGGTGCTGTCCGGTGCTACTGACGTTACAACTGGTGTAGGGTGCTGTCCGGTGCTACAACTGGTGTAGGGTACTGTCCGTGCTACTGACGTTATAAAACTGGTGTAGGGTGCTGTCCGGTGCTACTGACGTTATACAACTGGTGTGTGTAACTGTCAGGGTGCTGTGCTACTGACGTTATACAACTGGTGTAGGGTGCTGTCCGGTGCTACTGACGTTATACAACTGGTGTAGGGTGCTGTCCGATGCTACTACAACTGACGCTACTGACGTTATACAACTTGTCTAGCTACTGACGTTATACAACTGGTGTAAGGTGCTGTCCGGTGCTACTGACGTTATACAACTTGTCTAGGGTGCTCTCCGGTGCTACTGACGTTACACAACTGGTGTGGGGTGCTCTCCGGTGCTACTGACGTTACACCACTGGTGCCTGGTGCTAATGACATCAAATCCTTTGGTGTCCGGTGCTAATGACATTAAACCGTTGGTGTAGGGTGACAGAGACATTTAGCCGATAGTATGGGTTGCTTCTCGGTGCTTCTCCTGCTCCTTGCGCGCCACGGTATAGGCCCGTAACATCCTCGACACCAGGCGGCCGTAGTCGATGATGTCGGTGTAGAAGTCGCTGTCCATACGGGGTCTGGAGGGGTTGAGGGACATCCACACACTGAAGAGCTGACCCTGGAGGAGAGAAAACAGCTGCCACGGTGCTGGGAGTGAAGAATGTTAACGCCTGCATCAGAAAGTTGGGAGCTAATGGTGGGGCAATAGCGATGCATATATATTGTGGTGTGTGCCACCTGTTGGTGGGATGATGGTATCTAATGTAGGCACAGGAACATCATGCCGACCGTTTATAGACCAAAGTGGAACAAGCCCTCGTTCAACAAAGCGACCATAGCTCTACGACTGTCGTCAGTGGTCAGAGTATGGGGGTGAGGAGAGAGGGAGACCCGATGTCACCTCCGGGTACGAAATAATCTTACTAGGCTCTTCCTAAACACAGGGTATTGTTCCCACTGCAAGACTGCAATTTTAGATCCAATGCAGTTCATTTAGTTATAGTACCCAAAATGACATTTATACCAATAATGGTCGATTGAGCATACAGTCATTTGTACATGGGCAAAGAGGGCTGGCATGAAGTGTTGCCCATACAAGGGCGCGGCATCAGCTGCCAATCTACGCAGTATAGGGCCTGTATATCTCACGAGTTTCTGTTCTGTTCAGTCCACAGTTTCTCCGTGTGAGATGCAACCAAGTTAGTGATGTTGCAGTGGAGCTGCTTTCATCAGGATGTCGTGTGATTATGTTTTTCTCTGTTTATCGAAGACGGTGGTTGTTTTTACAAAATCTCATGAACTTAAGTATTGATGTATGTCATTGCTATTGGGCTTGTAAGTTTCTTGTGGCGCTATTTCCGGTACTAAGCTGGTTCCCGGCTAACTTTGTGCGTGCCAACTTGCGATATGCGAGGCGGGGCCCAGCCTACTTCCGGCACCACCTTTCCCGGTGACAAGCGCATATACAAGAACCAGTTCTGATTCCAAATTGCGCGATCGCCACATATGACTTTACTAGGCCGGACCAGAGACCATATAATATATGGTCTCTGGCCGGACTAAGTGTACAGCTGTTGACAGTAGTAATACTTGACTAATTTGGGGATGGTTAGATCGGAAATGTGTCTTTGCTGCAAGGAATATCGATTCCAGACTGTCAAATGACAACCATGAGACCCTTCAAGGTGTGAAACGTCGTTTGTCACCGGAAGTACTAAGGTCTCGCGAAGTGCCGTGGCCTACTTACGGGCCCAACTAGTCCCCTGAAATGGTGTGACATACCTCCTCAGACACAGCGAGGAACACGCTGTCCTCCTCCACGAAACCGCTCACCAGACCTTGGGCGTGGAGGCGCGCTACCATCACGGCAACATGGCGCGCCACGTGCAGCACGTTCACCAAGGACAGCTGATTGGTTGAAGCGAGGAATGACGTAAGGTTGAGGCTGTCAGGTGGCTGTGTAAACACGATGTCAGTGTTCCCCGTCCGCAGTTGTTTGATGACGCTCTGGTAGTCTTGTGACACTGTCGACAGAAACCACGGGGTTGTGGAGGTAACGAACAGAGATAACACAGATTTACATGACTGGAAGTAACGAACAGAGAGAACACAGGTTTACATGACTGGAAGTAACGGACAGAGAGAACACCATAGCCTTGACACCGATCATTTGT